GGTCGTTAATTATTCAGATCTTTGCCTCCTTGATCTATGTTGTTTACCTCTCATTGTTAATTCAATTTTCAGGTGTTTGTTCACGATGTCACCATGTCAAGGATAGGTATCCTTTTAATTTTTTAAAGATCTTCTTTTAATTCTTTATATATAATTTTCCCTGATGTTGAGTTAGACATGTTAGATGTATAAAGTTGTATCATCATGCATGTTTTAACATCATTCATTAACAGTTACCTCATGGCGTAACTATGTTGCATCATTGTGCATAAGCATTTAAATGATTCATCTGATACAGCGACTGATATTTTGAATGGATGGGTGGAATCTTTACTTCCCAGTTTATTTGTATATGCACAAGTATTTCTAATAAAATGGGCTTTTGGTCGTAACTAGGAATTAGTTTACAAGCAGAGGATTTAGTTGTTTTCCATAATAGCGGACATGTCCTTTACGGTTGCGGGATGGGTGTGCAAGGTTTGATTTAAAGCTTAATCAACTTTCTATTTCTTATTTAATGCCGGTCATTCAAGTTATAATTGATACAAATCAAGGAGTATATAAAGTAAGCTAAAGTCAGGGTCTTTATTATTATCTTATAAAGCCCTTTTCGACACAGAGGCGGTTTCATTTCGTGAGAGACTTTGATAAAACGACACACTTGTAAAGAGACAGGCTATCTTGGACTTTGGACATTTTCAGAGTTGTAAGGTTAAGGTTAGTAAGGTCACTGTTAATATATTTATAGACCAATTGTTAAAATTCAAGAGGCTTCAAGTTTAAGGTGGGTTTGGTCACAGGTACCAGCCTCTTCTGTCAATACGCTCGTGCTAATAACAAGGTTTGTATCTCAATCGGCCTAGCGAAACGACCCATTTTCAGGAAACTTTTAATTTTCAGAAAACCGCGCTGGAATGGTCTGAATCGACAAATGAATATTGTTTTCTTTAATTTGGCATCTGATTCAGTTTACATGATACCTTTTAACTGTCGCCAGACTTCATCAAACATTGTTTAATTGTCAGAGTTCTGTTAGTCTGACACTCATCTTATGCCTACAAAACACCTTTACAGGACAAGCACGCGATTCAACTGACCGCCTGACCAGTCGGTTAATCTTATGAAGGCCATCATTTTGGCATGGATCGGTGTTCTAAATTTAACGAATTGATCAACGCCGAGTTTTCAAAAGTTTTGACAATCAGTTTCGGTTTTCATGAGTCAAAATGGCGGCCCCATGAAGATGGTGTACTGGGACTTTTAACTCTGAATTGTCATGTTTGAAAAGATAGGTTGTGGAATAGAAATTCGAACGGTTAAGCGATATCACAAGTTTTCTGCGGATTGAGTGACAAACCTTGTTATACGTATGAGTGTGTTGACAGACGAGACTAGTACCTAAAGTTTGATCAAACTTCATATCCTTTTAAAAGAGCAGAACAGCATGGACAAGTTTATGTTTAAGTGTTGTGGGGTCAAGGTCACAATAACTTCTTTTAAAAACTGCAGATATTTGACCGAGTTCGTTACCGTGCATAAATCTGTATCGCGCTGTATATATATGATATATTCCACGTATGTATATACATAAGACAATGCTCAGATATTAGTAAATTAATACAACATGCACCATATGTAGAAATGGATGTTGATTTGAAGGTTTCAGATTTGGATCACCTGTCATAATTGTACCCGAGTTTCCATGTACATTGCGATCCAGTTGATCATATCACGTTATAGACAATTTGCCACTACAATCATATCGAGATTTTCTAGCTGTCTATTCACTACAACTCCTAAACATATATTTTTAGAAAGTCGCGGCGATGTAATGGTTAGATATTTTCAGAATATATTGGCTAAACGATTTGGTGCCGTAGATCTTGAATTCAAGGCCCGGATGGGGCACGAAAAAATTGTATTCCATCGTTGACAATGTCTATATATATCATGTATAATTTCATCGTGACTATATAAGCGTTTCCAGTGGTACATATAATATTTACGTAGCAATTGTTAAGATGATTCAAGACAATCTTGGCGAAATATTGAGTCCAACAAGCATATTCGACATACCGTATATCATGTCGTTATGACGAAGTACATCATTAAACTCCCTTCAAAATGTTAAATGAGAACCTTTATTCGATATATGATATTTATACTACCGGCGTAGAACAGGAAAAAAAACTCACATGCGAGCTCTATGAAGCATGCGGAACTAGAATGGTACGACTGGCTATCCTTAAGTCTGTACAATTGCTTTCAGGTATTCAATTGAGAACGACAAACTGTCAATAGAAAATTGTAATCACTAATTTCAAAATATCTGGAGGAAATTGTGTAATATAATATGTATAAGCTTTACATTAAAATGACACCATAAGTACCTGAGTGTATACACATAGAAAAAAAAATTATAATTTTTTTAACCTACAGAAAGAAAAAAATAAACTAATTAAAAAACAAAATGTTCCTGTCTGTTGAAACAACAATTAGACACCAACATGTTAACTTAATCATTATCCAGACTCAAATAAATAAAAATAGGGCAAAATATGAAAAAAGAAAGATTTAAAACGAAGAAGACCAGATTATCAAGAAGAGTAAGCGTCTTGTGCTTCGTCGTCGAAACCCGCCATGTAAATATTGGTCAGTCCAAGTAAATAATTTCACGTTCTCAAATGAAAACAAACTATATTACAACGGAACCAACAGGCAAACTTACAAGTATCAAACACGTCCAGCTTCATATCGTACAACGGAACCAACAGGCAAACTTACGAGTATCAAACACGTCCGGCTTCATAGTAGGAAATTTCTCAATGTGATCACTATGATGACGTAAAACTTCCCATTCCCAATCAACCTACATCATTTGTAACCTAATATTATAAGTAACTAACTGCGACATGTGAACACTATAGGGGATGCAGTGGACTTAGCTGATTGAACTATATTAGACTTTTAAGCGGTATGTACTCCAATATACACAACAGCGCTCTTGCATTGGAAAACATTGTTTAGAAGTATTTTTTACATATGTAAAAGAACAATGGTACCTTCTTAAAACCTGCAAAAAGAAATGTATCTTTTTCTACTGGTTAATGATGTATGAAATGTATGTTAGAATTTTTGCTGTATCTAGTTAAAATCATTACAGCGAGAAAAAATAATGGCATATTTAAGCGTTCAAACCTAATTAGTCTTTATAGTAACATTTACAAACCATTGCAAACCTTCTTAGCCTTGATAGTAACGTTTACATACCATGACAAACCTTCTTAGCCTTCATAGTAACATTACATTTACAAACCATGGCAAACCATCTTAGTCTTTATAGTAACATTTACAAACCATGGCAAACCTTCTTAGCCTTGATAGTAACGTTTACATACCATGACAAACCTTCTTAGCCTTCATAGTAACATTACATTTACAAACCATGGCAAACCATCTTAGTCTTTATAGTAACATTTACAAACCATGGCAAACCTTCTTAGCCTTGATAGTAACGTTTACATACCATGACAAACCTTCTTAGCCTTCATAGTAACATTACATTTACAAAGCATGTCAAACCTTCTTAGCCTTCATAGTAACGTTTACAAACCATGGCAAATCTTCTTAACCTTGATAGTAACTTTTACAAACTAAGTCAAACCTTCTCTTAGCCTTCATAGTAATTTTGCCAAACCATGGCAAACCTCTTAGCCTTCATAGTAACATTTACAAACCAAGTCAAACTTTCTTAGCCTTCATTTATCAAAAGAATAAGATTGATGTTACAGAACTTGTGACACACATACCACTGATATACAGACGATTCATAGAGAGGGATTCCTTTCTCAAGTGGTGTACTTTTAATCTTCCTAAATCTCCCTTATAAATTGAGAGCGTCGATGCTTGTTTCTTTATCATGAATATGACAACCCAGCAATGCGATTCTAAGTTACTTTTCCTGTTGATTTTAGACCACAGTCGCAAACACTTATTACCAAAATAGAAGCTTATTTCCGTGGTCATCTCTTAATTACCCGATAATCTTTTCATTCTAAGATGAAGTTATAAAACTGTTCATTTTTGGTTCAGTATCAGTGATATATAGCACCATAATTGATAAACAATTTTTGATATTTTACACTGGACAAAATCATGCACTGTCGTTTTATTCAAGCAAAAATGACTGTAATAACGTTGTATCTATTCTAAAATTGCTTTCATGAATAAATGTCCGGTAAATATCATCCCTTTTCGACTTAGTAGAATATAGATTAAAAGATAAATAGTTGAATAAAATAATGACCATCACAAATTCGTTTTCATTTTCATCACACTTGCTGGAGAGAAAATATCGCGGAGAAGATCGAGGACTGCAGTTTTGCAGTTTTTTAAATTACAATATAAATAATCAAACTATTGCTTTTTTCCATGGTACCTCTTAACTGTTTCCCTTTAAATGTCCTTAAACAGACAATGGTTGTCTCATTTTTCAACTAGCGAAAAAGAAGACAGTGTTCTTCTCAGATTATACTCTGAGGGGGCCAAGATGGGTCAGTCCTGACGGTGTTATTGACAGATAAGGGATTCATTTACAGTCCCGCAGAAGAGTGGAGTGGCGCATCCTGTTGAGATATGGGCTATTTTATGAAGACTCTGCAGAAATGGCTTGCCAATCATCGCGTTACGCATTCCTCGGTAGCGTAGGGTGGCATTTAAATAATATGAGGCCATGTTTAATCTGGTCATCTGGAGGAAACACCTCACAGGTAGGTCGTTGGATTTTGATTTCTGGAGAAACAGTAAGTTTACTTAGTTGACGGTATTCATATTCGTTTAACCAGTTCAGCGAAAGAGGGTAACTGGAATACGATGTTTCAGAAATGTTGACACCGAATAATTAAAACATTTTCTATCCAGTTCTATGTAAAATATTTGATTTATGCTGAAAATATATGTATAAACATTACCAAAATCATGTTATGTATTCATTTCAGAAAATAATGTTTTGGGCCACATTTTTACCCCTTCTAGTGGGGTTAGCTGCAGCTAAAGAGTAAGCAACACATTTTGTATTTATTCATTATTGATCTTATTTTTTTCATTCAATACAATTCACCGATAATTTCTCTGTAGTCGATATATTTCACTGCTATTTTCAGTGCATTTTAAAGATAATTGGTTTGGTGTGAAAACCTTACTAATCATTTATATGATATACTGATCAATTCTCTGCAATCGATTAATTTTACTGACAATTCTCTGGTTTTAATACATTTGAGGGATCATTTCTCTTTTGTCAACAAATTTCACTGAAAAGTTTCTCTGTTGTCAATATATTTTATCGATTATTTCTCTGAAGTGTGTGTATATTTCACAGTTGATTTTTGCCGTCAATACCGTTCACTGATCAATTCTCTGCTGTCAATACCGTTCACTGATCAATTCTCTGCCGTCAATACCGTTCACTGATCAATTCTCTGCTGTCAATACCGTTCACTGATCAATTCTCTGCTGTCAATACCGTTCACTGATCAATTCTCTGCTGTCAATACCGTTCACTGATCAATTCTCTGCCGTCAATACCGTTCACTGATCAATTCTCTGCCGTCAATACCGTTCACTGATCAATTCTCTGCTGTCAATACCGTTCACTGATCAATTCTCTGCTGTCAATACCGTTCACTGATCAATTCTCTGCTGTCAATACCGTTCACTGATCAATTCTCTGCCGTCAATACCGTTCACTGATCAATTCTCTGCCGTCAATACCGTTCACTGATCAATTCTCTGCTGTCAATACCGTTCACTGATCAATTCTCTGCTGTCAATACCGTTCACTGATCAATTCTCTGCTGTCAATACCGTTCACTGATCAATTCTCTGCTGTCAATACCGTTCACTGATCAATTCTCTGCCGTCAATACCGTTCACTGATCAATTCTCTGCCGTCAATACCGTTCACTGATCAATTCTCTGCTGTCAATACCGTTCACTGATCAATTCTCTGCTGTCAATACCGTTCACTGATCAATTCTCTGCCGTCAATACCGTTCACTGATCAATTCTCTGCCGTCAATACCGTTCACTGATCAATTCTCTGCTGTCAATACCGTTCACTGATCAATTCTCTGCCGTCAATACCGTTCACTGATCAATTCTCTGCTGTCAATACCGTTCACTGATCAATTCTCTGCTGTCAATACCGTTCACTGATCAATTCTCTGCCGTCAATACCGTTCACTGATCAATTCTCTGCCGTCAATACCGTTCACTGATCAATTCTCTGCTGTCAATACCGTTCACTGATCAATTCTCTGCCGTCAATACCGTTCACTGATCAATTCTCTGCCGTCAATACCGTTCACTGATCAATTCTCTGCTGTCAATACCGTTCACTGATCAATTCTCTGCTGTCAATACCGTTCACTGATCAATTCTCTGCTGTCAATACCGTTCACTGATCAATTCTCTGCTGTTAGTAACTTTCATTGTTCATTTCACTATTCTTAATGCATTTTTATATTTATTTCCCTTTCTATCAATTAACTTTACTGTTGATTTCTGTGCAGTAAATATATTTCACTGATAATTTCTCTGTTGTCACTACATTTCTTTGTTGTTCATATATCTTTCCTGAAGATTTCACTGATCACTTTTCTTTTGCAAATACTTCTTTTCTCTATCATCAATGAATTTCACTGATCATTTCTCTGTAGTGAGTACATTTCACTGATCATTTCTCCGTAGTGAGTACATTTCACTGATCATTTCTCTGTAATGAGTACCTGTAAACGATAAACTTTCTGTTGTCAATACATTTCACTGCTAATTTCTCTGTAATGAATACATTTAAACGATAAACTTTCTGTTGTCAATACATTTCACTGCTAATTTCTCTGTAATGAGTACATTTCAACGATAAACTTTCTGTTGTCAATACATTTCATTGACCATTTCTCTGTAGTGAGTAAATTCCACTGATCATTTCTCCGTAGTAAATACATTTCACTTGTCATTTCTCTGTACTAATTTCATTTCAATAATAAAGTTTCAGCTGTCAATACATTTTACTAAGAATTTCTCAATTGTAAATACCTTTCTCTGTCGTCGGCACATTCCACTGGCAATTTCTGTGTTTTTGATACATTTCTCTGTCGTCGGCACATTCCACTGGCAATTTCTGTGTTTTTGATACATTTCTCTGTCGTCGGCACATTCCACTGGCAATTTCTGTGTTTTTGATACATTTCACTCACAGATCGGTTCTCTTTAGTAAATATATATGAGAGATCATATCTTTTCTATACATAGATTTTAATGATCAGTTGTAATGTTGTAGATACAGTTTCCTGATCATTTGTCTGCTGTCAAAACATTTTTTTCAAATTATTTCTCTGTCGTGTCATGATATTTCACTGATCATTTCTCAATTTTCAATATTTTTTACTTAACATTTTTCTGTTATCAAGATATTTCATTGTTCATGTCTCTGCTTTTGATTTAGCGGTTAGCGGTTATTTCTCGATTGCCAGTCCACTTTAGTTATTTCTCTGTTCCTAGTGAACCTCACTGATCATTCATTTGAAGGCAATTAATTTTACTGTTGTCAATACTATGTATAGACAATTTTCTATTGTCAATATTTTTCATTAATCATTTTTATGGTGAGTACATTCTACTGTTCATTTCTCTGTTTTCAGTACATTTAACTAATTATACTAGTATTTTTTCTGACGTCAATTCCTTTCACTGGTTCTCTGTTATCAATTCATTTTAATGATAATTGATCCGTTATCAATTCATTTTAATGATAATTGATCTGTTATCAATTCCTTTTAATGATAATTGATCTGTTATCAATTCATTTTAATGATAATTGATCTGTTATCAATTCATTTTAATGATAATTGATCTGTGATCAATTCATTTTCATGATAATTGATCTGTTATCAATTCATTTTAATGATAATTGATCTGTGATCAATTCATTTTCATGATAATTGATCTGTGATCAATTCATTTTAATGATAATTGATCTGTTATCAATTAATTTTAATGATAATTGATCTGTTATCAATTCATTTTAATGATAATTGATCTGTTATCAATTCATTTTAATGATAATTGATCTGTGATCAATTCATTTTCATGATAATTGATCTGTTATCAATTCATTTTAATGATAATTGATCTGTTATCAATTCATTTTAATGATAATTGATCTGTGATCAATTCATTTTCATGATAATTGATCTGTTATCAATTCATTTTAATGATAATTGATCTGTTATCAATTCATTTTAATGATAATTGATCTGTGATCAATTCATTTTCATGATAATTGATCTGTTATCAATTCATTTTAATGATAATTGATCTGTTATCAATTCATTTTAATGATAATTGATCTGTGATCAATTCATTTTCATGATAATTGATCTGTTATCAATTAATTTTAATGATTCCTCTGTTATAAGTATAATTTTGTTCATTTCTCTGCAGTAAACTTATTTCATTGATGGTTTTGTTCTGTTTCAAAACAGTTTACTTGTCATTTATCTGTTTTCAACACATCTTACTGTTTTATGTATCATTTCTTTTCTGTAAATTTATTTTTATGATGATTTCTATGCTGGTGAACCCTTTACTGATCTTTGTTGTCCATATATTCTATTGGATATTTCTCTGTTTTCATAACATTCTAATGTTCTTTTTTCTTTTGTCAATACATTTTCTTGATTATTTTTCTGTTGTCGAACATTTCTGGATCATTTTTCTGTTGTCAAAACAATTACTGATAATTTCTCTACTGTTCAGATAGTTTACTAATCATATCTTATTTTGGATATCAAGACGTTGAAATTAAATAAATAGGAATACTAGCCGTGTTCAGAACCGAAATAATATCATCACACCATAAAACAATGTATATAGTGACTTTATAGTATTTTAGGTATGTACTGTTGCACACGCTTATTTTATATATAAGGAAATAAATCAAACACATATTAAAATTAACAAGCAAACACTGAAATAATATAGAACAAATATATTCATCTTTCAGCACTTACGTTGTAATAGCACCTAAAGACGTCCGACCGGGTGTTCCTTTAAACATGAGCGTGAACATCCTCCACGCTACGGGTGACGTACTGGTCACAGCTAAACTCGAACATGTATCCACTGGATCTGTTGTAGCCTCTTCGTCCGCTTCATTCCAACAACGTAGGTAACAAATATATTTCTATGAATACAGGCCTGCATTTTAATCAATATCACACCAAATACACTTCATTTTACTTCACAGTGACGTGCCTTGATAAATTTTTGCATTTATCTCCACGTTGAGTGTTCATGTATAAGTGTGAAAACTATTATTAACAAAGCATACTATTAGTACATAACCATCCAAACAGAGATTCTGATTTTCGCCTGCAGTTCATTGTTGATTGAACGTTGTTAATTAATTGTGTCAGGCGTAACATGATTTCTTTTGCTTTGTGTTGAGCTTTATTCAACTTCAAGTACATAAGCTGTCATAACCAGACATGCAGTAAACTTGTGTCTACGTATGAACATAACGACATATATTTCGGATTATTTTACTTTGTTCACTTCTTATGCCATGTTAAAGCGTTTCGTTTAGTTATACATTGTGGTTAATTAAATAAATTTGTTGTTAGAATCATATTCTTCTCTGCATGGCCATCTGAACACGTACGTTTGCTTAATAATTTTATCCACACTGATGTATTGATGTCATTGCACTTTGTCGATAATAAGAATAACGATATATGTGAATCTGTACTGTTGTCCTTAATCGTTCGAGTGTTACAAACTTAAATTCTTAGTGGGGTATTTTTTGTTTTTGGTATTTTTGTTTTTTTTGTTTTTTGTTTTTTTTTTGGGGGGGGGGTTCAGAAGTATAACAATACGATCTTCGGAAATAGGTTTGTAACCATTAGAACAATATATACACAAACAAATGTGTGTTTTGGAGAAGCGAGGCCACTTGCAATTCTTAGTTTTGATAACGACAAAGACACATTTGTGATTTTGCACAATCCGCAATAATACCGAATCATTTCACTTTCATTTACATCGTACACATACTGCAACAATATAGAAATTTGATTACATTTCCAGATGTTCCTGGCACGCTGCAAATATCGGTAAGCATTAAAACCATTTAAATTTTTTTAAAAATACGAAAAATAATAAAATGCGAATTATTTTTTGTACCTGTCCATAATGTTGTACATGTCAGGTTAAGGTCAGGCAAAATACTAAGTCAGTCCATACGCTCGATGGTTTCTGCTTGAAGGACTCATTCGCAAGTCTAGCTCATGTGGTCAATCCCTTACATGTCAGTCCGACCATCAAAATTGATTCTTGCCAAAACAGTTCCGATCCCCTACCGAAACGGTTAGTTCAGTGACGCAGCAGTCAGCCAATCTCTCACCCACCCAGCGCCAAACACGCCGCCTGCCATCATGAAAGTGCACACAAAACCTGGACTCACCTGTAAAAGGAATAGGCCGCCACTGACTTAGTCGTCAATTCACATGATGAGCTGCCGAATGCTGCCGATCTATACGATGTTGGCGTGTGGAGGCGTACAGTGGGTCTGGAGCCCGTAATCCTGAGTTGTGAAGTTTATTCTTCCAGTTGCTTGACGGAAGTCGTTATTCAGCCTAATGGAACAATCCGATTTCGCAAACTAAGAGTCTTTAAATAATGTCAAACGTCAGGGTCTACCCGTGACGTTTCCAGTCATCGATTCCGTAATCGAAAGATGGCATTTCGTGACGCATTGAAGTGTGCAGTCACAGTTCCTTGTGATTATCCTGCTTGTAGCATCCAGACCGCATGGCCAGCCTCTGCAGCTGTCATGCGATGTCTTATGTTAACAAATGTTCAAAATAAGATGCAAAATGATAGGACATTCATAAGAAACATGAAATTTCTTGGTTGATTTGACTTTAAGTCCATACGGACTTTCAATAAAACCACAATTGACGATTTGATTATAACCCTGTGTTATATGATGACTTGCCGCACGCTTAATGAACGGTGCATGGGCAAATCGCTACAAAAAAGTTATTGCGCATACATTGGTTATAAAACAGTGGTCAAGGAGTGTCAAGCTTAACTTATTGCAATGGCAGAAAAGCATATATTTATGACCCTTAACATGCTGTGTGCATTGTATTTCATCTCGTGTCCTGGAAAATGAATATATTTACGATTGTGCAGTATACAAGTTTCCACCCCACTCGATAAAAAAGCTTTACATCTTCTGTTTCTGTAAATAGACGTCTATATCATTTGTCTTTTTCACTCTTTTGTACTTTGAATTTATAGGTTCCAGATACGATTAAAAGTGGGTCATATCAACTCACCGTCGAAGGTTCAAATGGTCTCCATTTCTCGGACAAAACAAACCTTCATTATGAAGCCAAGGGCATGTCCGTCTTTATACAGACAGATAAAGCTATGTACAAACCAGGACAAACAGGTCAGTATTCAGAAATTAATAAATTGTTACTGGGTCATCGAATATTTTTTTTTTTTTTTTAGAAATTCTTAACATTTTCCTAGAGAACATTAAATAGGCATCGGTTTGAAATAAGTCTATCCTTGGTGCCACATGCCATATTTTCTCCTGCAAAGCCTTTGAATTTGCTGATTTTCTGGCAGACTAATGCTGGCAAATAACAGTGAATTTTCTTTTTTCAGTTGATTACAATTTCACCGTCGTGAAATATCTATTTCTTGATATTTTTGCTCTCCATATATATTTTGCTTCAGTAGATTTAATGCTGTTTGCGTGTCCCCAATATTATTATCACTATTATTCATAGTTGTGACCTTGTCTTGTTCATAGTTTTGTCCATGTTTTGTTCATATTTTTGTCCATGTTTTGTTCATAGTTTTGTCCATGTCTTGTTCATAGTTTTGTCCATGTCTTGTTCATAGTTTTGTCCATGTCTTGTTCATATTTTTGTCCATGTCTTGTTCATAGTTTTATCCATGTTTTGTTCATAGTTTTGTCCATGGTTTGTTCATAGTTTTATCCATGTCTTGTTCATATTTTTATTCTTGTTTTGTTCTTGCTTTGTGCTTGTTTTGTTCATGTCCTTGTTTGTAAGATAAAACTAATTACTTATCATTTGCCTAAACTACACATAAAAGGCTTTCTACTAATCTTTTACACTTTTCTAAATTAGAGAGCCATGATATATAATTTAAATGAAAAGTGTGAAAGATTAGTAACTACCTCGTCTTCATTGTTTTTGCTAAGTTTCTGCTCTAGAAGATAGCACTAATCTAATATAGAGTCCTTGATTGCTTTATTTTTATATCTATTTTCATATTTAAGTCAATTTCCGAGGATTTGCAATATATCCCAACCTGACAGTTCACCTTGGACCTATGGACATTGAAATCTATGTAAGTTGTACCGTCAGAACACTATCTCTAACAATTTACAATCTTCAATCTACGACTGTCAATTCTGTCTGGTTTTCAATCAACAAAACCGACTCATCAATGCATTTTACATACATGCAATTGGATTCCATTTTTACAACGTCTCAAGTTTGAGTTCATTATTTGTAGAAATTGTTGAAGAAATTCCGCTAATGGTACTAGTTCTTTAATACCATATATATTCTAATAATAGGATGAGTATAATTGAAAACATATAATAGAAACATGCTACGTTTGTATCACATATAATGCACTTTTCCATGGCCTTTAGGATATATATACTTTATAGTAGGACATTGATTGTCTAACCACTTAGTAAGGTGTATAATGTTGATTATGATATTGATTTACCTAGGACCCCAACAGCAATAAGATCAAGCAATGGTTGAATGTTCAAGATTCTACCGGAGTAATTACTAATTACATGATAATGGATACCAAGCCGGTACTGGGAGACTGGAAAATACGGATCAAGACAAACGTAAGCCTACCGACAATTTAAAGTTATTCTATAACCATGTTCAAACTTAGTAATATCTAAAACATTGACCTGCGTTTTAGTAACAGAATTCTTGTGTATAAAGAATTTTTCTCTTTTTCATTCATCCATAACTAATCGTTATTTCTGAATAACACGTATCTCTTTTATATCTTTATGTTTAAAAATCGAGAATTAAATATGAATAAAATACGTACTACACACATTTTCAATATGCAACTGACATTTAAATGAAAATACGCTCATGTATTATGATTTTCAATCCAACTTGAAGATCAATCATTAGAGGTCGTCTCTTTACCAATGATATAATTTTACAGGGTGTGACTAAAGACAAGATGTTCACGGTCGCTGAGTATGGTAAGTTTTAACCGGTTGCATCTGTAATATTAAACGCTTTACAAATTTAAAAACAATGAAGCTGGAAGAAATTCGAGGAGAAAATACATTGGAGAACGACATATGTGTGTGTTGTTAAATAGGTAGACAAGTACATTTAGGTTAACTTTGAAAAGTTTTAGATATACTTTTCTTACGTTTAGCTATTCCTCTTTAATTTTTTTCAACCCACAGGGGTATTGTGCTTATCAAACAATAATCTTTACTCATGTTTTGCCAGACTTGAAAAGAATATGTATGCATAATTGGATATTTGTCTTTCAGTATTACCGAAATTTGAAGTGACCGTTGATTTGCCTTCGTACGGGTTGTCTACGGCAACAGAAATAAAAGGAACGGTGAAGGCAAAGTAAGTGACATAGTTAAATTTAAGTACCCTCAACAATTAAAGCTTTTGAATACGAGCATTGAATTAAGTATAGAATTTATCTATGTATCATGTATCTAAGGTAGGTAAAAAGGAATCATTTTCTGAAAGTCGACAAAAAATCACAAAAAAGTAGGGGAGGGGAATGTAATCTTTTTTGGTGTTTTTTTCTGTCAGAGTACATCAAAATTCTGGTAGTTTATATTCTTTCTCCTCTTGTGATGTTTACCTTTTTAGCTATACTTCGCTGAGATTCGTTATATATTATAAGTTACAAATGATATGTTATGATATGTCAGTACTTAGGGTTAATTTCAATTCCTGACTACAGATATACCTATGGAAAGCCAGTGAACGGAACTGTGACACTCAGTGCTCATGTTGACTTTTACCACTCAACATACTACCATTCTGCACCTGTCCCTTCCGTCAAACTATCCATGGATGTAAGTTGGTTCAGAATTAATGTAATTAGCGTGAATTGAATCTACTATATCTAATTATATCACTGATATACCTTTGATATAATTCTTTGTTTCTTTATAACAATATTTTAGCCAAAATAAACCATTTCCCCCAAAATTTTCACATTTTTATCAAATGCTTATAAAACCAAAGTCATTACCCGGGTTTTCAAAATAGGCCACAAAGACCGTGTGAAGCACTTCAATTTTCACTTTTAGATATAGCTGACGATATCTTGTCTTTAAACACAAAATTTATTGAAGATATTAGTTTATATACCCACCAGAATAGAAAATCAAGGTCACAATTAACACTTCTACATGAGCTGCTTACCTGTATATTTTCCTATAATGAGACCAACCGGGACATTCTCCCCGTTTAATTTCTCTATTGTGAATTTATATTTCTGGGTAACAACATTCCTGCCTCCCAAACGTATGATATTCATATGTCGCAGTTCATCGATATTCATTCTTTGTATACGACAGCATGATTCTCTTGCAAATTCATAACACAGGGATGGGAGAGGCTGATAGAGATTATAAAGAAGTTTCACAGTCAGCAGAATGATATCATTGGGAAATGTTTTTTTCATAAATTCATTGTTGTTTTACCTTGTTCTCATTTAAGGACCGTGGCATTACGTTTGGCTGACCACGGTTTATATAATTTTCCTTGTATTTTTTTTTCAGGAGTCTCCATGTAAATCTTCCTTGTGCTCATAGTTGCCATAGTTTCATTGTATTCGAGTTAAGATGACTTTGAGATGTCGGTTATTACTTTTTTGATTTACTGCTATACTTATATCTTTCAATTTTGTTTTCAACGTATGCCTTTGTATAACAGCTTCTATGATAGTGAAACTCCCTCAAATATAACAACCTCTATAATATTCTCATGAATTTTAAAATGTGCTTATTGCAGATCAACGGTGAAGCTAAGTTTACGCTACCTGTTTCGGGCCTGACCAGTACTTCCTACTATTCCTCACTGACCAACCATAAAGTCATTGTAGAGGCCAATGTTACAGAGAGTCTCACTCAAATTACTCTGAGTGGATCAACTGATATGTCCTTCTACTCTCATGCCGAGAAGATTGAGCTCCTTCCCTCTAACCCGACGACATTTAAGCCAGGTCTTCAGTACATCGCATATGTAAGTTTCCCTCAGCTTGGTTTTCCCTCACCTTTACTTATGTATAATATGCGTGTCCTTTGTCAAACATCCCTCTAGGACTCTAGGATAACTCGCTCATCCACCACAATTCACAAGCACATTTCTCCGCTTACTAGCAAATGAAAAATCCGTTATACTCTTAAGAAAAGCAGCCAATGAAAGCTCAAATTAAAGACCATTGCGAATGAAAGTAGTTTGGGTTGATCATCATTTGATATATATTAATGTCATCATGGAATAGCGCAATCGGTTCTGAAACGTAGATCCTTTTTATTTCGGCACCATATTTACTGTTCACAGAATTTTCCAACTCTTCCACTTTAATCGAGCTCGAGTGAAAGCTGTCCAATACAATCGGGATAGCATTAAGTGAACCTTGCTTTCGATGCTATACAGCGACAGCGTCACATTTAAACATTAATAGAAATCCTATCAAAATTTGTTTTAACGATCATATGTCATTCTTTAACGCCCTTCTACTACACCAATGTTAGTGTTATCAACACGTTTACTACATTGATATTTCATTTACCATAGCAATATCGGTTTTATGAAAACAACTACAAAAAAAACCAAACAAACAAACAAACAAACAAACAAACTGATTCAATCATTACTGTTATTCCATATATCAAATAGATATGTATTCCATATGATAAAGTACACGCGGAATCTTGTTAGCGTAAATGTCCATGTAATACAACATATCAGTAACGTTACAACCTCGGAGTAACAAGATGTGATGACATCTGACGGCCTTCTGACTAGCCGGTCAGTAATTGCTGAATGCCTTTTGATAACTTGTGAGGGTGGTCGGAAGGCACAGTGTGTTCATCGTTCAATCGGACGTGCACATATTCTAGGCTATCATGTTTTCTCCGAGTTACACTGCCATCTGGTCCATCAGCAAAAACATAAATCAATATAATTTGTTAAGCATTAGTTGTAAGATAGATAAAGTTCATAAAAATACTCTATTCTTGTCTTCGATTAGGTAAGCTTTCCATACATCCGGGTGCTTGTACCTGCCTTTCTTTCATCATCGTTTTCAATTCGATATTTATTTCTGTATTTTTTTAAATTTTCTCATTGTTTAAGGCTAAAGTTGTCCAACAAGATGACTCACCTCTGGAATCTGCCACGACATCGTCGCTGATTGTTCAAACGCGTGTTACAGCTAACCTACCGGAAACTACTACATTACCCTTTTACTACGGCCAACGTACAACGAGTTATCAACTTCACGATCAGAGTTTCACACTCACAGACACAGGGCTTGTCCAAGCGAAGATTGATATTCCACACAATGCAACCAGTATTTCCTTGACAGTATGCATTTCTGCTTATTAAACTAATTACTTAAAGCAACACTCTTTCTTTGGAGAATATTTCTACGTATCATAACAATGACAACCTAATCTTTAAAACTCTTTTGTAAAGATGTGAATTAATCGTTTGCTATCATATTATCAAATAGTTTACTGATCGTTATATTGTCGTGATAACATACAAGTTTTGAAAGTGAAATATATACTTAGTATGTCACATGAATCTCGTTTTTTGTACATCATGATAAAATATACTTTTTTTCTTTTCAGTTTAAATATGGTTCTATTTCAACATACAAAAGCGTGGAAAGAAGTTACTCGCCTTCAGACAGTTACATGCAGATATTCCTTGAGTCAAATAACCTTAGGGTGAGTCTAGTTAAGAAAATAATCAATTAATCTGTGGTTTATTTATCTATCGTTCTGGAATGGTTTTATGGTATCATGTTCATCGCTCTCAGGCTGGTACATGCTGTTTTGATAGAACATACGTTTTTCTCTTTCATTCTTTGCTATTGAAAACTTTCAAGCAATTTCAAGAAATATGTAAAGATGTCAACAAATTTTACTATTTCTCTGAATTTAATCCATTTAACTATGTGTTGACTTATCATATCATCAAATCGTTTTGTGTGTTTATACTTTGCAAGTTGTAAATAAAACTAACGTTACATGATGTTTTGAAGGCTGGTCATGACAGAGTTGTTGATTTCCGGGTAGTATCCACTTCAGCTATCGACAGATTAGTTTATCAGGTAAGATTTAAGTGTATGTAATCGTTTAAAAAGCAATATATTGTTATTAGGTATCACAGACGTGATAATTAAGAAATTACCGACTGCGATAAAGATGAAGCAATTCTGTAGTGTCTAGAGAACGTCTTGGGCACCATTTGCGGTCCAGATAATGCTTATTTTGCTTCAACACCTAGTTGACGCAAAGAAAGCTTTGTCGCTTTGCAAGTCTTTGGCAAGAGTGTCATGATCCATGACATACAAAATTTACGTAAGGTTGACCTTTTGATACGATCGTGAATTGTGAATTTCCCTGTCTTGCCAAATAAATTTTTCTCGAACTTGATGTGTAAGTTTCCCCCGTTCAATTTTGAGGATCCCAAAACTATCTGTTATGACATTCGTAGTTTGGTATCTCTATACATTGAGGGTTTATGAAAACTCTTTAGTTGTGTCCGTTTGATTTTGAGTCTGAATGAGAAAACAAAATGGCCGACAGGTGGCCATCATGGATTTTGACAATTTAAGTTTGTTTTCGCTTTTTCCTGAGAAGATCCGAAAAGATTGTGCGTGTAAAAATTTCCCTTGTCAACGCATAGGTCCTAGTTATGCCCATTTGCTTTTGAGACTAATAGGGAAAAAATTGGTGGCAAGCGGCTATTTTTTATTACGACTATGAAAAACTGTTATCATTATTTCTGTGGAAGTGCAAGATGTATGTTTTTCAAAATTTTATATGAAAATTTCCATCGGTCCCTAGTTGTGCCCCTTATGATTTTGGGACTGATAGGAAACACATAAGAAGTTTAACTTTCGTTTAATTACATTTTTTCTAAATGGCACTTAAAAAATTGTAATTGCACGCGACATTAAACTTATTCATTATCAAAGTTTATATCGCTTACTATTTACGGTAACTCTAACGAAAAATACCAGTCATTGTTGGACATGTCTGAAAGGAATAATCGATATTGTCTTCTAGCTTCTTCCTTCATTGTCCTCTTTTCACTATGCAAAGACAGCTCTTTTCACTATTCAAAGACAGCTCCTCATTAACTCCCTTTCTATTCTTAATGATTCTAGACCTCTAAATACGTGAAAATTTCATGAACTTGAAGGTTCTCATGTACTTGATGAGATTAAATCCGCTTTTACGTTACGAAATTTATTTTCGATAACAGACGTCTCTTTTATGGACCATATCCAAGATTGTAAAAGTAAATGGACAGTATAAGTCTCTATCCGCCTCCATTTAAAGGGACATTTGTCCTGAATTTTGAGACAATTATAAATTAGATTTGCATTCGTTTATGATATATGATGATTGTGTTTCTTATTTGATCTATCAATTTTTTTAATTCTAGATTCTAATGTTCCAGAATCAGTTTTACTAAATACCACGCTATGATTTACTGGTCATTTGATTGATGTATCTGTCTGTATACTTCTTCATGTCAATGCATGGAGAGGGATTTCAAAAGCTATGTTGCCCTTTTCCTTTTGTCATTAATAGCTTGAAAATTAAAGACATTCTGAAATAAAAATCCTATTTCTTTTGCTGATTGGAATAAGGTGCTGGGTCGAGGCAGTATTGCTCTATCGGGATCAATTGATGGAAACAACGCTACGGCATTCCCATTCCAAGTGCCATTGAATTCTAAGATGGCACCTAATGCGAGGATCGTTGCCTACTACGTCAGAGCAAATGGAGAAATCGTCACAGACAGTATTAGCTTTGATGTGTCTGGAACTTTTGAAAACGAGGTAAAAATCCAAATATCTAAATAACTTAAATAAGTCACAATATACTTGTATATGGCAAAATGATATACTTCGATAGAGATAAAAAAAAACGATACATCGTTTATTTTAATGCCTCCGCTAGGATTCGAACCCGGAAATCCTGCTTCACTAGTATAACGCATCATCATTAAAGTTGATTTTCAGTATTTTCCTGTTGAAAATACACCACCTTTTATTCCATGCGTTAATTTCATCAGGTCCTACCCGGTGTTTGCCTCATAGACACTGATATAGTTATATCACATCCGTTACCATAGTGACGTTTTGGATTCATATGCACTTAGCGTTAAGATTGTGTTACAACATTAATATCATCATCGAGTTTCAAAAAGCGCAACATCTAAATGACATTGATGTGATACAACTATGTTCTTAAGGGAACGTTTGAGTAATATTCCTAAGTCCCTACATTGGCACGAATGTTGGAGAGGTCATTATCTATTTCAATACCTCGCTAGGATTCGAATCTGAGTCTTCTAGTTTACTAGTCTAATTCTCAACCGATCAAGCCAAAGAGACGTTATCTCTCTAGCCGAGTGATAGATTGAAGCTAGTATTTACTAGAGTTACATGAATATCCAAAAAGCTTAAAACATTCAAAAGTATCCCAAAGAACAATGATTTTGATATTTATGCAACCAGGTCTTGAATACATGTACTTGCCCTTTTTTGGAATAATCAAATATAAATCGGTCTTATTTAAACTAAAGATTAAAACGGCGCTTTAAATTTCTTTCACTGATTAAGAGAATAAAATCTGAAAACTTGATAAGATATACATATACTCAGGAAAACAAAATTGTTTATCTTTAATGTAAAATGTTATACCAACTACGTAGTGTTTATGAATAAATGTCATTGTGACTGATATACAGAACAAAAATTCTGCATAATATAGTTTTTGGTTTATAGTATATGAACTTAAACAGCTTTCGAGTTGTCTTTAATAACTCATTAACAGCAATGCTTTATATACTCGTATTTAAAAAAAAATATGTGTGAAGGAAATGGTGTTTTCCTTAAATGTTTTCTCATCATTCAAACAGCGATATCTATTGTAGGTGTCTATCCGTTTCGACAAATCGAAAGCCCAGCCTGGTGAGGGTATCAACGTCGACGTCTCTGCGGACCCTAGTTCCATCGTTAATTTACTAGCTGTTGATCAGAGTGTGCTTCTCCTCAGGAGCGGAAATGACATCACCCCTGCTGAGGTAAATAGCAAGCATTTATCAAGTATTGGTGTTCTGACATATTAGTAAGTGTGCATTGAAATTAAAACATGCTAATAATCCACTCTAAGTTGTTACATTGTCGCCCATTTTCTTCTCTTTATAGAATGTAAGAAGAACTACGGATGTTTAACATCAATCAAAATGTCATTTTTTTTCTCGTTATATTGGCATTTTAGAACTACTTCAATGTTAAAATATGTCACCACATTAGAAATGTCTTTAAATGAGAAAATCCTATCAGTTAATGTAGAGTTGTTCAGTCTTGGAATATAACTATGATGTTGAAGATTATACACAAAATCTAGTAACTTCATTAAATTATCGAAAATCTGAGTTTGCTTACCAATATCTTAATTTCTTTAGATACCATGCATTTGTATTAGCATATATCCTTTTGCTTCAGTATTATCGTTCGTAAATGTATTATTCAGTGTGAAGGTGTGACAAGATGAATGAATTCTACTTAGATGTATTTATTTGTATATGAGAAGTTTACCTTTATGCCATTTATAGGTTGTTGATGAATTGAAGTCCTATGATACCATTGTACATTCAAACAATGGCGGTATTGGATTATTTGGAGGAGGTGGACCTATGCTCTTGGGCAGGAAGAAGCGGATGATATGGTGGCCTTTTACCACTTATTATGGTGGATCAGACGCACAACAGATATTTCAGGTTTTATTTGTTTAATATACTTCGTGGACTTACCTACAAGTACTCGAAATATAAGGAATCTCGTTTAAATTTTAACTTTTGTTTTGGTTATATAAATAAGTTTCAAATAATTAAATATGGATTCATTATATAAATAAGGATTTGAGAAATGTTTAACATGAAAAGTATGAATTTTTCGCGGTTCAACTACAGGAAGCTTTTCAATATGTTCATCGTTCCAATGGCAAGTGAAGGTCCCGGGTGGTATAAAATGATTGTTGTATATTTAGAAATAAACTCTCGTCCCATCGAAATGGTAAAAAGGGTGTTCAGAACTGCTTTTATGAGTCACGTAATGACTGAAGCTAACAGCCTTTCCCCTTAGCGTTGCATTTGATGCAGTATCAATCATTCTATGTATTCATGAACCGCAAATGTATTTCATCATGTAGCTTTTATCCTCCCTTTAATATCTACATCGTTTTGACTGTAGAATGCTGGAGTGAAGATCCTTACTGATGCTTTGGTATATCATCACGTGGTGCAACCGCAATACTGTGAGTACCATATGAGTCTATCATTATCTAAGCAAACATTGCTGAAAAAATGAAATAATAACCAAATTCATCTTAAATGTAATTAGAGTTTTAATTGGTTTTTTAATTGTATATAAAGATTTTCAAAATTCCTATTCAAATATGAACCAAACGAATCGGCTATTTTCTCGTGCCGAAGTGCCACAGTTCAGCCATCATGGATTCTTCGGTGGACTTGGAGGATTTGATGGCATGCATGCCTTAGCGGCTTCTTCAGTAGTTAGTGCCGGCAGCATTGGAATGGCAGCAGGAAGCGCTTCAGTCCCAGCAGTTGTTCAACCGCAACCACAAGCACCTCATGTAGATAACCACCCGTCACAGGATCTCAAAGAACCAGGACGTGTTCGCCTTGTTTTCCCAGAAACGTGGCTTTGGACTAACAAAATTGTCGGGTATATGGCCTACTTGTTCATACTCTCCTCCTACACATTTCTGATACTCTCCTACCTAATACATGTGATAGTAACACGCCCATTGCACGCTTCTACGTCATCCATTTTTCTCACTTTTGTGTTACCATTTGTCAGTGTAATAATGATTACACCACTTCGAAACTAACAATGCAGTATTTGTATTTCATAAAATCACTACATATGTCAAAAACATGACCACGTGATTGTCGGAGGTTTTCACGACATTTTTAACTATTAACGAATTATTACCTGAATGTACACAGCTGATGAAAAAGGTGGTGATTTCATCAATCAGCGGAAACATCAGGCGTAAACGGTCATCTACTAACGTGTAGATCAATGTGATCTGTGCTAAATGAATTAGACACATTGAATTGCAGTATATCTATCTGCTCCTACATCACCAGCCGCGTTAAGTGTATTTCTCTGCATACCATACGTCTAAAGAGCCAGCTGAATTGCAGTGTTCCACAGTTTTGGGTTAACGAGATTTATATAACGTGTCATCGACGAAGCAGTTCCGGAGCACATGGTCTTATTCTCTTTGTAATTTTTCAGGAAAAAATTTTCTTCATATGTTGTCCTAGTTTTACTGAATTTCAATTGTGGTTTTTTGACATGGCGAAAGGTCAAGAGACAAACAATCACATTCACTCTCAAAATATTTCCATCCGAAAAATACCATTGTTCAGTAGGTTTCTCGGTTGCTGTAATATTATGGTTATAAGTTACCTGTTCAACCGGACTCGTGAAAAGTGTGTTGTTTCGTTGTTTACTCCGACATTGAAACTTAAACAAGATTAGTTATTCCACTAAGCTCATTTATCTGTAATATATCTTTAGAGGATCTCCTTTTTTCCATTTATATAAGTATATAAATATGTTTTCTATTTAACCAAAGCTTTCCGAGATATTTATTTGAAGTGCACATGTTTGTCTCAACGACGATTGCTTCGATATGGGAAACCCACATCTGTGACGTCACAAGTTCAATGCTGTCTAAAACTGGACTATAGAAATATACCAGGAAGCTTTTATCGTGTGTTAAATATGCGAGTTTTTTTAGCTTCTTGTGTGATATATTCTGTTCACACTTTTGTAGGTTATATCTAAAGTGCTCTTTACAAATAGAATTGATTTTTATGATTTTTTGAGTAAACAAACGATGTACTGTATGCCGGTGTCAACACACACGCGGATGGTATCTAGGTTAATCTGCGTTTTCATAATTCACGAATTAGTTTTATTATTAATTTTTATTATCCAATTGGTCTCTAGAAATTGCGACGAGTCCTTATTGTATACAACACAAGCCGACAACCGATTACAAGTCAAATCAACGAATTTAATGTTATCATCAGATTTATACTCAAAACTATAAAACATTCATCTGCATTTTGACGTTGCTTATCATAGCTATGCTCATTTTGCCTATTCCTTCCGTGGTTGCTGCTACTGGTCAATGAACTTGTGCCATCATAGCCGATATGGTCTTATTCAACGCTAATCGGTAGTAGAAGGACAAGTGAAAATCATACACTTTACATGTTAGTATATGGGTTTTGGTCCAGCAGAATTGCAGTTTTCAAACTCATCGATTTTGGTTAAAAATAAGAACATATATATTTCTCACCTTCTAGCAATGTCAGTATCAATTGTAAGTATATTTATATTCAAAGTTGCATATTTACGTTCCTGAATATTGTGGTCCATTTTCTACAATCAATCTACTCGATAACCCATTTTGTACCCACTAATCTAATTTTCTATAAACCTATCGTCTCTTTTGGTTCATTTTCTTTTAATCAGTTTCCTCATAAACCTGTCTCCTCGAAAGGTCCATTTCCATATATCCGTCACCTCGTGAGGTCCTTTTTATCTCTTTAACCACACCTCGTGATGTCCATTTTATCTCTTTAATCACACCTCGTGATGTCCATTTTATCTCTTTAACCACACCTCGTGAGGTCCATTTTATAAATAGTCACACCTCTTGATGTCCATTTTTCTCTTTTATCACACCCGTTCCTTTTTATCTCTTTAACTACACCTCGTGATTCAATTTTATCTCTTTCCACACCTGAAGTCCAATTTCTCTTTAACCACACCTCGTGATGTCCATGTTATCTCTTTAATCACACCTGTGATGGCCATTTTATCTCTTTAAAACCGTTTTCTTTTGATGTCCATTTTATCTCTTTAACCACGTTCTGAGGTCCTTTTATAAATGAGGTCCATGCTTCTGTCCAAACCCACATCACTGAAAAGTATATCTCTTCATGAGGTCCAATTTCTGTCCACCCACATCACTGAAAAGTTCCATAGTCTCTTCATGGGTTCCACAAAACCGTTTTCTTTCCACCCACATCACTGAAAAGTACTAGTCTCTTCATGAGGTCCATGCTTCTGTCCACCCACATCACTGAAAAGTACTAGTCTCTTCATGAGGTCCATGCTTCTGTCCACCCACATCACTGAAAAGTACTAGTCTCTTCATGAGGTCCATGCTTCTGTCCACCCACATCACTGAAAAGTCCTAGTCTCTTCATGAGGTCCATGCTTCTGTCCACCCACATCACTGAAAAGTACTAGTCTCTTCATGGGGTCCATGCTTCTGTCCACCCCCATCACTGAATAGTTCGAGGTGATAAAACGTCTTTATAATACAATTTCATTAATTATGTAGTATTGTTGTGCTACTTGATATATTATGTTACTTTTATCTTGTTCTATCCTCTGAGGGTGAATCATTACGATGACCGCATGTTGTCTTGTTTCCGTTTGACACACAAATTATCTGAGAAGGTTTCATATTTTTCATTTTGTCGAATATGACTACAATTTTAGACCCCATGTTTCCTGACCCTCCTTTGGCTATCAATGGCCTAATGCCGCCAGTACCTGGACCGGCTATAGCGAGTAAACCCATGCCTGATATGGTAATGCCTGTGGCACCCATCGCCAATACTCCTGACAATGCTGCCCTGAAGGAAGTGGAAACTGTTCGTTCAAACTTCCCTGAGACTTGGCTTTGGCTGAACAAAACTGTTGGGTAAACAACGATACATTTTCTGTTGTGCATATTAATGTATAGACATAACGCAGTGCTACTATAGAAGCTTATTATGCTCCCCGAAACTTCTCAGGGGAACATATAGTCGTCGCCTCGTCCGTCCGTCCGCCCGGAGAATGACTTTGCCCATAATTACATATTGGCCATACGAAGGGGACGTGTAGTGTACCAAATTAAGGGCCCACGACCCCACAATTACAGTGTTACTGTTACAACATTGCTTTCTTTTAAGGTAGGATAATGCAACTTTATGTATATACTGATAATACGGAGACAGTGTGTAGTGTATCGATGATAGGGTCTGCAACCCCATTTTTTACAGAGTTATTTCCCTTTGATAAAATTTGTGTCCGGACCATTACTTTGCTTGCATTAAAACTAGGATATTGATCCATGATGTATACATTACGGTGCGGTGAAGCAAAGTCAAAGCCCATGACCCTCAGGGCAGAGTCATTGTCCTTTGATACAATTTTGTGTCATGGGCATAGCTTTGCTTGCATTAAACTGGAATAATGGAATGCATATTGGTCGTACAAGGAAAATCAACGGCATACCAGATTTAGAGCCTGTATCCCCTTATTACAGAATTATTGTCCTTTGTTCAAATTTTGTGTCCTATAAAGCCGTTTTCGGGGAGCATTCATTAGTTTCATTGATTATATTCATAGACGTTGTGATGCTGCTTGCCTAAAATAATATTATTGTACTAGTATTACTCTTGCAACCTCATTACTTTTCTACCTACAACCATAGTGAAAATAACCTAATAGCCCTGAAGTATACAGAGGTCCTTGTCACGATTACTACTCTCTTCGTACAACCATAGTGAAAATAACCTGATAGCCCTGAAGTACCTACAACCATAGTGAAAATAACCTAATAGCCCTGAAGTATACAGAGGTCCTTGTCACGATTACTACTCTCTTCGTACAACCATAGTGAAAATAACCTAATAGCCCTGAAGTATACAGAGGTCCTTGTCACGATTACTACTCTCTTCGTACAACCATAGTGAAAATAACCTGATAGCCCTGAAGTATACAGAGGTCCTTGTCACGTTTCCTACTCTCTTCCTACAACCATAGTGAAAATAACCTAATAGCCCTGAAGTATACAGAGGTCCTTGTCACGATTCCTACTCTCTACCTATGAAGACCTGATGACCAAGGAAATTCCTCTATCCATAATGTATTTATTTACCTCCCTTTCCTCTCAAGCGTAAAGTTCATGTTATAAAAATATCGTAAGCTATTCGTGAAAATTTGTATAGCTTAGAATGATGTGAATATACAGTTTTTGAATGCGAAACGAGGTCACATGACGTCAAAGTATTACTTCGGCGATAGCGATATTCTGTTTACCTATGACACTACCACACTGGTCACGACAATGTTCATTTACAAACGTTCAAAATTGTTTTCAAGTGAAACCAAACTTGGTATATTGTTTTTAAAATGTTGTATGGACGCGAAAAATAAAGCTTTTTTTCTTTCCTTTTGAATTGGTTTTGAAAGGGAAGCAACAAGCGCACACAGTTACATGCAGTTACGTGAAAAACCTTGTCGGTGATGATTCTAGATACTACCGTTACTTGTTATTTTAATAAGATTTTTTCATCGTATGAAATTTGTTGATAGCAAATATCATTGTGTCGCGGTATTCCACACACTTAGTATCAACACCTCGGAATCAACCTGATGACCAAATCCTAAGGAAAATTACTGGCTTTTATTTGTCATAGTAATTGAAGTGGTTGGTAAAAGGAAATCATGATATGTTTCTATCCAAACGAACACCTGGAGACAACGAAATTAAAAGAAGAATATTACTTACAGTGCTCTTAAGCCCTCATGTACAAATGTATGTAATTAATAACAGGTGTTAAATGGTTGTTTCTTTTTTAAACTGCTTATCACTATGAAAACAAAATGGGCCGTGTTAGAGGTCCAATGGTTTGACGTGTACAACAGCTTGCCCTACATGTGCACGCACACAAACTACGTGTATCTTCTGCAAATATTGTGACGAAGAGCAAGCTCCTGTCGTTTGATAGGAAGCTGCAGACGATCGGTAATTCAATGCTGTAACATATCCTTCGCATGTTCGATCGGGTTAAGGTCTGGCGAAAGACTAGGCCAGTCCATACGTCGGGTTAAGGTCTGGCGAAAGACTAGGCCAGTCCATACGTCGGGTTAAGGTCTGGCGAAAGACTAGGCCAGTCCATACGTCGGGTTAAGGTCTGGCGAAAGACTAGGCCAGTCCATACGTCATAGTTTCTGCTTGAAGGTATTCATATACAAGTCTGTGTCTATGTGGTCGACATTGTCGTCCATCGATACAAACTCAGGGGTCTTACAAATGGATGAAGGATTTCATCCCGGTACCGTAAACCTGTTGAACCTTCAATCACGTACAAGTCAGTCCGACCATCAAAACTGATCACTGCCCAACCATTACCGAGCCCCCAACCGAAACGGCCATGCGCAGTGACCCAGCAGCCAGCATAACTCTCACCCAATCCATGCCGAACACGCCTCCTGTCATCATGACAGTCCGAAGTCTGAATCATCAGATTGTGGCATTTGTATCGAGACATATATTGTTTGACATCATTTTTTTTTTTTTTTTTGGTTTTCAATCGGAGCTTTATTTCATTGATATAACTATTGGTAAAACAAATGTTTTCAGACTGAAATATCCCCTTCATTCAGTACTTGAATAAGTCAACATAAATGCGGTGAAACAGAAAATATTTCTGATCAAATACAATTTCCTAAAAAAAACTCTTTCTTATTGGATATGATCATGGTCATGTTTTCCAATCGTCAGCTTAACGGAATTATGGAAAGATATCACTGAGAAATCCACTGTCCTACAAAATGCATTTAAACCGGATAAAGGCTCTTCGGAATCGCCATTCTTGAAGCAATTCGAAACACCAAAGGAACCGTCTCTTCATTCATGGAAGTTGTACCATACACAAGGACGCTCTGATCGGGGGAACGAATACATCCATTTAAATGGGATTCCATTTGAAAGGGTGATTGTTACCTCATTAATCGACTACATTTAACTAAACTGGAGTCATACGGATCCAAATTTTTGGATAGCTGTAAGTTGCTCAAAGAATGGTTTAAACTTCATTTGATTCCAGACCCCGGATTCGGACCCGGAACCGGTGGCGGTTTTGCTGGTGCTGGAGGTGCTTTCCCACAGATGGCTGGAGGGGCATTGAATGGTATAGCTCCAGCTATGGGAGCCTCAGCTGGTGCTTTTGTGCCTAATGGTCCGTCGCCTGGTAGCATGGGAGGAACTTCCGTGTTGAAAGAGGTGGAGACGATTCGCTCCGATTTCCCAGAAACATGGCTATGGCTCAATAATACTGTCGGGTAAAGATTAACACTTATTAATTTGTATTATAGTGGTTCAGAGGGATGATGCTTTCTATTTTTCAAGACTACACTACCACCTTTGCTACATTTCCTCCTACGTTCGCTAATATGGCTGCTGGTGTATCTGTGAGTGGTTCGGTAGGAACCCCCACGCTGAAAGATGTGGAGATGATTCGCTCAAAGTTCCCGGAGACATGGCTTTGGCTCAATCAATCCATTGGGTAAAAGTTTTTTCCTTGGAAGCCATATGTTATATTAATGAGTGGAAAAACCGCATTTTCCTTAGTCTGTAGGTTGTAAGTAAGATATGTATAGAAACCACAGTAATGGGGCTTTTGTTAATGTGATTATATTGATAAATGCCTTATTGAAACCAAAGTGTAGTTAGCTTTAATACGTTTTTAAACAGACGTTTACCTTATTTGGCCGAGAGCTGCCTGTCTTGAGGGTGAAGGGAGCTTTTGATAATATGAAGAATGGTGTCTTTTTCATAAATATCATGAGAGATTCTCTGCAGAGAATATATTTAACAAAGGCTTGTTTAAGGACATTTAATGCTTTGCACATTTATGTAATTCTTAACGCTTTGCACATTTATGTACTTCATTATCTAGTAAGGACGGATAATGTCTGCTCCATGGACTTCCTAAATTTGTAGATGTAGTAGGGAATTATTAGTTGCTGTCAATCTACGGTAAATGGAGGTTCAAACTAGTAGAGAGAAATTTCTATACATTCGAGGGAGTTTCAGACTTTACTTAATAACAATAAGAAACTTATAGCACACTCCACTACAACATCTATACTCCATGTTTGACCTTGTGGATATAGCACACTCCACTACATTATCTATACTCCATGTTTGACCTTGTGGATAAGAAGACAAGATGAATTTTATCCTTTGATGTACATTGAATGATTCTCGAAGTCACATAACGGTATATTGTACTGACTTTGAAATAAGTGTCGATCCTGTGTTATCTTAAAAGAAGCGTAGCGGTCGCTAATTGGTCAGTTTTTTCCTCCAGAAACCTGCCCTAGAAACTTCACTTGTGCCTTCAGTTTTGCATTTAAATATTCAAGGGTTACAAAGAGGGAAAGTGATAGTAACCCATGGAGTGTCGTGGATGACTAGAAACCAATGAAATATTATTTTTGTTGCACTTAAGAGGCACTAGCAATAGATTTTAGGTAGGGATAGTAGAAGTCGGATCTGATCAAGATTTATAACGCTGAGTAAAAAACCATCCATTGTACAAATTATATTTATGTAAAGCTTACATCAATCAACAGAAAACGGAGAAACTAACATGTGATTGTTAGTTTTGACTAATAACTTGCTTGGATACATCTGATTGTTAGTTTTGACTAATAATTCGCTAAATTGGCGTTATAAGAACATACTATTAAGACACTTTGGTATTTGAAGCTCGATCAAGTATTTAAGTTGTATTTCAAACCATGTTGATTTTCTTCTCAATTGCAGCAAAAAAAGTCTGAGATTCATCTCATAAGTAATAGGCTTTATTTTAATAGCTGTATTTAAAGAAGTGATACTTGAATTCATTTTAGTAAAATTATTGAAACTTTACACCTGATCAACTACCGTATGGCAAGGCATCTATGGAAGAACGAGACACAGTGAGAGAAATATTGCTACTTTAGACGTTAAGTTGACCGCTTGAAATGCGGGTTGTTTAATAAATACTTAACTGAATACACGTATAAATCCTTCTAAAATTATATTTCCAGCTTTGTTTCAGTGAAACATCGTCATTTGCAACTGCGAAAGTTATAGTTTTTCTTCTGAGTGATTTCATCTCAGATAATCGAGTAAAGCCAAGTTTCACGCCCACCATCGATATCAGAAATTCGGTGTCACGCCCACCATCGATATCAGAAATTCGGTGTCACGCCCACCATCGATATCAGAAATTCGGTGCTGATGATGCCAATGTCATATAACATTTATAATATTCTTCACCCCTTTTTTATTGCACCATGACTAAGACAAGATATGTTAGGTTTTTATTTATTCAGAAATGTATGACCTTTTATTTGTTTCAACAATAAACAGAGGCGCAGGATTTATGAGGCATTGTTGACAGTAAGACGCATAGTAGACCGCTTCAAGAGACGTAATAGATTACACACATACACAAAGATCATAGCTCTATAGTACTGCCTTAATTGAACGGTTTATAAATCTACTTATGGAATTTCCGTTATTCTGTATGCTTATTGCACCTGGCGGCGACCTCTGTAACCGATGTTGGATTATGATGTTCACCCTAGCGTTTGTTTGCTATGTCATAATAGAGGACGTGCTGATTTCGATGCATGACACCATTCCGTAACCAGAATTATAATGAAGCAATTTAGAACTTTGATTTATTTCAAGACATGTTTCCTACGGCCGCTGGTTTGGCTCCGGGTATGATGGCAGGCGGCGCAGGAGGTGGTTTTGAAAGTATGGCTGGAATGGTCCCTTCCGGTTCCGGTTCTGGAATGGCTAATTCTGCGTCCGCTGGTGGTATGGGAGTGTCATCCATGCTGAAAGAGGTGGAGACAATTCGCTCCGATTTTCCAGAAACGTGGCTCTGGTTCAATGAAACTGTTGGGTAAAAGTTTATTTTTTGGAAACCTATGCCGCAGCGTTATTATATTGTAACCGTCAGTTGAAGAGATTTAAGTGATATAAATCATTTGATCTTTGAATATTCCATACATTTTTTTCAAAATAAAATTATGACAGGGACAAAAGGTGATGACACATATAGAACTGATCTGTCATCGAATAGAACAAAATAACTACCTATCGACTTAGTCACCGAAACATAAAAATTTCGCGATGGTTTTTGTATTGTCATACATCACCGTTAAAAATGTTTTGGAATCGAGGAAATATTTGATGATCGAACATTAACTTAATCGCGAAACGTTATAAACATGAACCGTAACAGGAACTTAAACACTGTGGAGTCGCGAAACGTATGAAAGTCATGGACTGGAATTTAAAAACCTATAGTCGTGAAACGTTTAAAGTCCTGGTTCAAGTCATGCACTATCATTGACACCAAACGGATTCAATTCACAAACCATAATTAACAGCAAGTTGTATTCAGATAATGCATGGTAAGAATGATAGTTTGCTGTTCTAGTTGGAAGGGAGGATTTTGTTTCTCACAGCTTTTTTCCAGCAGCACGTTTACTTTTTCTCCCTTATATTTAATTGCTTTCCTTCTGATTTCCTTCTTGCCTACCCTATGCATACCCTGCACTGCAACCTTCTTATCAATATTATTGTATAAACATAGTTTTTTCATATCAAATATAAGAATGATCTATTTAGGCTCTTGTCTTAAAAATGAATTTAACCTGATCTTTTTATATGGAATTCCAAAGCATTAACAAAGCGAATTCATTGATAATTTTTCTTAACCGCATAAAGTATTCAGTCAAACAAGTCTTCAAGTAATGATACCAATGTTTGGGTAATACATTGTATTTCTCCATTTTTGTGTATCTATAGACCTGACGGCCATGTCACTATCGCTGCCACAATTCCGGATACGATAACGTCATGGGTTGCTAGTGCTTTTGCTGTCAACACCAAGAGTGGCTTAGGAATCGCACCAACAAGTGCAAAGGCAAGTTCATTTCGAAACGTGCAAATTGAGTACTGGCGTATTGCTTTATATATGTATGTATATATATATATATGATGGTTCTCCCACATTATGTTCATTGTCGCAAACACCTACTTATGAGAGGAGACCCCGTTCCAAAGTAACCCAGACCGTTTATTAAGTACAAAAACAGCTAATTAAATCATTTCCAAGAAATATATTCAGTCACTGTAATTCTTATTGGAAGCTGTGATGAGAAAAAATATTTCTTGTGGTTATATTTCGGCATTCTAATAGTCGAACAAATTTTTAGGGATTAATATTTAGTTATATTCGTCTTGACATCATATTTAGCAGCCATGTGTATTGTCTTTACGTGAAATGGAAATATTGTAACACTGATATACAAAACTAGCACAGATGAAAAAATAATGGTAAATAAAAACAATGTTTTTGAAGTGTGGCTAGTTTTTAGTAAGCTTTGTGATACTGTGGTATTCTATAACGATATTATTATATCCTTTTCCGTATGATATTTTCCGTGATTAATGTGTATGGAATCATTTGCAGGTTGAAGCCTTCAGACCTTTCTTTGTGAGCCTTACATTACCTTACTCTGTTGTGAGAGGAGAGCAACTTGTGCTGCAGGCTAATGTCTTTAACTACATGACCATGGATATGGATGTTAGTATATCAGAGATGCCCTAGTATATCCCGAATTCCTAAACAAATTGTAAAATTTTCGCTGACAATAACATTACACAGTTTATAGACTCTGTGAGCGTTATAGCCATCACCCCTATCAGGTGTTGGTCAGTTTGTTGACGGGTTTTTCGTCTCCGTGACTTCTCCCGTCTCCTGGTATCGTCTCACTGACGAACGTTAGTGTTCTGTCAACTGTTGGTTGGTTGACAGGTTTTCCGTCTCCGTGACTCCTCCCGTCTCCGGGTATCGTCTCACCGACGAATGGAGACGAATGTGTTTAGAAATTGGTTCATGAAGTAATAGATGTAAGACAAGGAGAAAAAACAAAAAACAAAAATCGCAAATATGTTATAAAATGTCGTGTTTTAAATGACAACTTGGAATTATTTAATGCAGATATTATTACGCTTCTTTTCTGTTTGGAAGAAAAATCGTATCATCTTAAAGGTTTGATTTATCTCCCTTTGTTCATACTTTCTAAGTTTCTTGTGCACTAGTTACTTTGCGATAAGGACATAACTAACCAGATGCTAAATTATTTTCAATTATTAAATGGAAGATATCTGTGCATAGATGATCATACATATTTCAACTGATTTCAGACTAAGTTTGGAAACCGGAAGTTTGAAATTTTATTTCATTTTCAGTAGACCTACCACCAAGAACTTCCGAGATCGAGTTTCTGACAGGATTTATCAAACGGACGTTTGAAATACTTTTCATTTTTGGTAGACACTTATATATAGGATAACAATAAATTAATTGAAAGCTTGTGAAAAATTTGATACGAAACAACATTGGCTAGTATAGAGTTAGCTTTTCTGATAAATTCTGGTGGTTAACTTTAACCCTGTTCGTAAGCATGGACGAGAACACGATCACGAGTGTGCTAGACATATTGGTTGTTTTGTCAATGCTTAGAGCTAGTCCCAATCACGAAGCATATCATGAAGGACATGTTTAAATGCCTAGACAGCTAATAGGCCTATATGATATTTTTATATCGTTTCAAGAAATGAAACCTATTGTGCAGTCGTTGTTGATTTTATCTAGAAAATGAAGGAGTGATTGGTTTTTATTTTGACTTAGAAATGAACATGTTTATTTCTTTTTTATAATTTGATTTTGGATTTTGATGCAATAATTAATACATACAGATATAATTGGAAAGAGTCATAAACACCTCCGCTCCTAGGTGATATGGTTCGAATGAGGTCTTGAGCTTGTATTTTTCTTTTTCTTGTTTTCACCTCCATCATCATTACTGTTTCCGGTGAGGCTATAGTGACCTTTGATTCTAGCCAGACACTCCATCACTTAACTGAAGAGAAATCCCCACTAGCTCAGGCTAGAAAGGTGGCAATGATTACCCTCTACTTCTACAACTTCTAGTATCAGGGTGACTCATCAGTTTTAAACATACACTTTGTATTTGAGACCTATTAATGTGCAGTATTTAAACAAGATATGAGCTGATGAAAGGTTATAGGTCACTTTTGTTTGAGATGACTGAAATGAAGAAAAAAATGTTAAGTATGTGATTGATCGGTTACTAGCGAGTTATGATAACTGATCAGCCATATTGAAATCTCAACTCATTTTCATTTAATTTCAATGATACACGATCTTTTATTAAAGGTTGTTGTCACATTAGAAAAGAGCAATGACTTGGTGAATGTTGTATTCGATCAACAAGGCACAGAAACATATATCTCCCAGACAACAACAAAGACTGTACACGTAAGTAGTATACCTTACCTGTAACTTAACTGCCAAATATAACTAAACCCATCCAAATAGTTACCCCTTGTCTGCTCGTCCTACATTTACACCTAACAACTCATTCAATGCAAAAGTCTCCCACTTATATACTGTGTAATACACGTGCATAAATATAAATGGATTGACGAGAATTCAAATTTGGACTCTTGCCATAGATATGGACATGATCGAAAAATAAATTTTCAAGACTTTCTTATAATGATTATTTGAAATATCTTGTAGTCGGATATTAGTATTAGAATAATACAGCCTTCACTTACGACTTTTCGTGTAGTTTCCCTTGCAAGACTTATCGAATTATCATAAATGAAGAAGATGTTCCGTATAAATCGCTACAAATATATCATGATTTGGGAGAAAATTTGCACAAGTTTGATTTCTCTCAGGTGACAGCCGGTGGATCAAAGTCTGTATTTTTCCCTGTGGTCCCTTCTGGTCTTGGAACAGCAAGTATAAATGTCAAGGCACAGTCTACTCTGGCGGCCGACGCTGTTAGGCGACAGCTTCTTATTGAGGTAAGTGTCTGATGATCTAAAAATATCTACTCTGGCGGCCGACGCTGTTAGGCGACAGCTTCTTACTGAGGTACGTAGTCTGATGATCTAAAAATATCTACTCTGGCGGCCGACGCTGTTAGGCGACAGCTTCTTATTGAGGTAAGTGTCTGATGATCTAAAAATATCTACTCTGGCGGCCGACGCTGTTAGGCGACAGCTTCTTATTGAGGTAAGTGTCTGATGATCTAAAAATATCTACTCTGGCGGCCGACGCTGTTAGGCGACAGCTTCTGGCGGCCGACGCTGTTAGGCGACAGCTTGATTCTTGATCTAAAAATATCTACTCTGGCGGCCGACGCTGTTAGGCGACAGCTTCTTACTGAGGTAAGTAGTCTGATGATTTAAACTGGATTTATCGAGACAGTTCTCAGTAAAGGTTTAGGTTGGAAGAAAAGAAGGAACGTTTGTAAAGGAAAATTGATCGAATATGATAATTTATGTATTGAAAAGGGAATTTGGTTACATCCAATCAACTGGTACCATGTAAGTCAGGAATGTATGGTGACTTCATCATACCAATCATAAGGAACATTAGAACTGTTACAACATTCACGAGAGTCTGTGTATACCACAGCTTCAGAAAGTCAACATTAACGTGAGATTTTAGAACACGTATTTAGCCTGAGGAAATTAAAGATATCAAAATTCATTCGTTTGTTGAAATGCCTATTTCACATTACGAATGATAGAGTTTAAACCTGATTATTTCATAAAAGCATCATTTTCAAGGGCACCGTCCAGGACATAGAACATGTGGCACGTCTTGGTATTGTCCTGAACGAGTCAGGTTACTGTTATATACGTCTGAGTAAACACAGTAAAGATTTGTGTAGAATGACAAGAAATCTTCCAAAAATGAGGTTAATCTGTCAAGTGATTTTGTTTATGAATCTAGAAACTGTGTTTTTTGTAATGGATGTTGTGTACAACCCTATCTTTAGATGAGTATCTCTTTGATTAGCCTGAAGGTGTTCCAAAAGAGTACAACATACCGATGCTGGTTGACCTGAAACACAACACCCACTTTGCTGAGACAGTTGACGTCACACTACCAGCTGGAGTCGTAGCTGGTTCGCAGAGAGTACGAGTGTCTGCAATTGGTAAGATTGTTTTTCTAATTTTATCAGGAATATATAGCTTCAGTATGTAAAACTATACTCATATTATTAATAAATATATATTCTAATATGTACTTTTAAGGTGAATAATCAATATTTTTATTTAGGCGATTTAATGGGACCAACGGTTAATGGGCTGGACAAACTTTTGCGCATGCCCACCGGATGTGGAGAACAGACTATGTTGGGTTTCGCACCTGATGTATTTGTAACAAACTACCTCACTGATACGCACCAACTGACATCAAGCATTGAGGAGAAAGCGATCACTTTTATGGAGAAAGGTAGTGTTGTTTCTGTTCTAATTGCGCCATTGACATTAGGCATATCTATAATTCATACTGGCATTGTCGCGCTCTCAGATTAAAGGGAAAAAAGGAATTAGCGTTTCATTTAATGACGATATAATCAACCATTGATGTTTTAATAAAAATAATCCCACTTCTTGTGTGCAAATGTTATTGTTTCTCGGAATGTAGTTCGTCTATAGTATTTATAATTATATTGTTTTTTATATTTGGTGGAAATTGTTTTTTTTCTGCACTTTTATCTGCAAACATATGGATAACGAATAATTATTATTCTCCACATATTGCTTATTAGGTTAAATATGTTCAGGATGTACTCCGCTGATGTTTTGACCGGAAGTAAGACATAATTCAATTTAAAAAGAATTCCAACATAATATGTCTAATACACTTTGTTATCTAAAGTTTCTTTATCCAAATAGAACGTATTGAAAAGGTTAATATTAAATGATAGTCAACTAAAAGATTCAGGTAATTTTGGATCTTTTAGTTGCTATGCCTTTTTAAAGTTCGTTAAAACTAATGAAATTTAGCATTTGTTGCGTTGTTTTTTCCCTTAAAATCCAAACATCATACCCTTATCTTATAATAAAAGACAAACATTCATTTTTAAACGTGTTGCCGCGCAAATTACAGGGAATATCTGTTATTCAGAAAACAATAACATTAAGTAAAAATGACTTTCTGTTATACATGTTCTGGTGCCAATACTGGATAAAAGAAGTGCAGCAAATTTGTTTTTTTGCTTTTTTTTAAAATTAATTTTGTTTTTGTTTTTTGTTTTTGTTTGTTTCTTTTAGTCTACTTTCTAAGATCAAGCCTTTCAAATCATTGCCATCAGAAAAACGTTTAATAGTAGATTTTTTTTCTTCTTCTCAGAGTAGAACATCTTTAAAAGGATTCCGTATGTAATAAAAAAGTTTAAAATAGTTTTATGGGATTTGAACCCGTATTTAGGTTACACATTTTTTAACTTAGCCTGTATAAGATCCTACATACATGTTTGTAGGATACCAACGTGAACTGACTTTTCAACACAAGGATGGGTCGTTCAGCGCTTTTGGAGACAGTGACGCCTCTGGAAGCATGTGGCTAACTGCGTTTGTCATAAAGTCCTTCCACCAGGCGAAACGTCACATCTTCATCGACGATGACGTCTTAACCAGGCCCATCGACTGGATCATAAATCGTCAGACCGCCAATGGCTCTTTCCCAGAACCTGGTCGCATCATTCATAAGAATATGCAGGTATGTTTCTTTTTGTACCCAAAACCCATATGAAAAATCTATTTTCCATTCCAATCACAAATCCGTGCAGTATTATGGATTGTAAGGATACAAAATGTGTTTAACTGCGAAACGAAAAATCGGCATTTTTCTTAAACAGGAAACATTCACCATGCTGAAAATTTTAACATGGGAAGTAGTGAGTTTCGTTTCTTTGATATGTTTAATCGTATTTGATAATGGCACCGAGAAATAGAAACAGTATAATTATGTAGTTGAATCTTACATGCCAATTTATTTTCATGAAATACCCCCTATCTGCTTTTATATTTAGGGTGGATCAGCCTCAGGCGCGTCCCTGACAGCATTCGTCCTCATTGCCTTACTGGAAAATAGTGACTTGCCAGGTGTAAGTACTACCCAAAACTGAAATTTGATAAAATGTTCATGTTTTTTTTTTATCTAAATAAATATCAACTTAAAGTAATAATTGATTAAGGTCATAGATGTTGTCCAGATTCTTCCGAAGTACTCAGTAGTAATGTAACTTGTCCGTTGTGACACTACCTCTCAGAAATTTTTTTCGAAGATATATTTTTTGGAGTACTTTCATAAAAAGATCTACCATTATATATGCATCTTATTTTTTAAATCTAATACAGAGTGTGCACATGAGAATACAGTCGGCAGCCAGTAAAGCCCAGACATATCTAGAGGCAGAAATAGCCCACATGACAGATCCTTATGGCCTATCAATTTGCAGCTATGCTTTAACATTGGCGAAAAGTTCAGCATCTGCAACAGTTTTCCAAAAACTCATGACCTCTGCAATCACGAAAGGTTTGTTATGATTTCACTTTTCCTTCTATCAATAGTTGAGGGAATGATGTATGGATCTCTGCGAGATAACTACTTCTTTTCAAGACTATCGTGGAAACTAAAACTTGAAAAAAAAAAAAATGTGATCCGAAAATTATGTTGTCTACTTTTGACGACTCTGTTAGGTCAATGGTCACTAGAATGATATTGCCGAAAAGAATTAAGTACAATTACACAACGACCATTTCTTGTTCCATATGCAGTGCTCATTATCGCTGTAAAAAGAAATAGTTAATTGAATACATGTTATAGCTTATGGTGTTCCTATCGGGTAATTCTATTCCTTTCATATATCTGGGTATTTTTTATCGGGATCTCCAACGACATATTTAAAAAAAATCTTTCTCTTAAACTTCATTTTAGAACACATTCATTGCAAAATATTGATATTTTCACAGACGGTATGAGCCATTGGCATGAACCAGAATCAGCCGCAGCTCCTCATACTGGCAACTACTGGTCACCGCCCCATCAACAGTCCAAGCCCGTGGATATTGAGATGACGTCATATGGTCTGCTGGTTTTTGCTCAAAACAGTCAGTTTACAGAAGGACTTCAATTCATGAAATGGATTTCAAAGCAGAGAAACCCAAATGGTGGATTTTCGTCCACTCAGGTCAGTATTTAACTGTGGGGAGATGTAAAGATAAATCAAAATTGATCTACTGAGACACGTGAAGTAATTTTGGTTTTTAAAATGTTGTCAGATAATTTGTTCGTGATAACAATAGTGATAAAATCATTACATTCCTTATGTCCTAAATCTTTGAATTTTCTGTGTTATGCTCTTATCTAAAATGGACATACTGTTTAGTTGTTCATGAGACCAATGATTGTCCTGTAATTATCTAGTGTTACGCTTCCTTATTCGGTAACCAATGACATCTTCCTATATTTTTCAGGACACTGTGATAGCACTACAATCCCTCTCTGAATTCGCTCGTATTGGCTTTTCTGAACACTTCAACATGCACATCGGAATCACAGCCGGACAAGTTACACACACGTTCAATGTAACAAGACAGAACGCACTGGTTCTTCAATCCTTAGAAGTGAGTGGCTCCAGGTGTTTAGATGTATTCATCAATGTTGTTCACTTCGAACAGAGATAATAATATAAGTGTTGTTTTCTTTCTATACATATGATACCACGACGATAAACGAAGGTTATATCTATTGAACTTTAACTCGTTTTCATAACACTATGTATGCATTAAACATGATATATGCAATGTGTTTCCATTCATATGGGGTATGTGGAATTAGTATAAGGGTTACACCGGAATCGGCTTGTCTATCTGTACAAAACAAAATTGTATGGAAAACTCCTAAGCTTGTGAACAAATAACAAGGACACCAGACAGGAATGTTAGGGACAATGCGCAAATGTGCATGTAGGTAATCTTTAATATATAGTTTGCTTGCTATGTCAAGTCAATATACAAAGGTTTATGTGTAATAGCCAAAAATCCTCCGTCCCCAGGTCAGTTTATATGAAACTTGGTCAAAAGGTGTAATATATACGAGCATACAATTTGACATCTCATGTGTTTCCAGAACTTTAGTATGGAAACATATATTGTCCGATTATTCTGATTATGTAAGGGCTTTGAAGAATTGTTATTACAATGTTATTTTTTTCGATGTCCTTTGGTTGAGAGAGTAACCAAATAAGACATATGATTCTCCTACACTTGGGAACCAAATGCAATGAAATTAAGCAGAGATATTAAAGACCATATGTAGATGTGCATGCAAGTGTGTTGGATTTTCTTTTCGAAAATTTGGTTACCTTGGTAACTGGGTTACACTGTATCGCAATAAATATATATTTGTTTAATAAATTTTATAATACATGGCGAGGACAAGGGGTATGGCAAGGGATGGTACCTGTCTAAGGAAGTTTAAGGTCATAACTTAATGATGACGTCATAAGAACAGGACTAGCTAGAGTTAGAACATCAAGCATGCACTACATTCATATATAGATAAAAGCGACATCTGATTTATTCTGTTATTTCAGTATTGTTTAATCCTCGTTTATGTTAACAAGGGTATATATACGTTAAGTTTGTTTGTGCATGTGAAACACTTTAAGGGGGAAAAAAAATCTTTTCAGCTTCCATCAATACCAAGCCAAGTGACTGTAACCGGATCCGGAAGTGGAATGGGCTTAGTCGAGGTTAGTCGATTTTGTTTCTCTAGAGGAAATATAATCAAAGTACTTCACTTACTGAAACTTTAAACATATATATTTGTAACGTTAAATGTGAGATATATTCCATTACATGTAAAATAGTCAAACACTTTTATAAAGGATGAATACCAACGGCCAAATTTGAAATCTGTACGTAAATCTCAAACTGGATATTTTCATTAGTACCTAGTCTGTCAATTTTGTTAAGTTTTTACTGTAACAGTGACAGTATGCATGCATGACACGGTTTTGAAAGAAGGCAGCATTGTTTATAGCATACAACTGCCACCAGGTGTCACTGAGAATCCGTTGGAATATTTCCACCAATCAGAAAGCTAGGATCGTTAGTAATGGCTAGTTTCAAAAGCTGTGACAATAGGCTGAAATCTCAACTGCATTACGTTTAGCATACAAAATCAAATTAGCGTCGTTTATGTCAGTGTCGTGTTGACGTTAGCAATGCTACATGTAGGAAGTTTGTTTCAGGTGTCTGTTTTCTTCAACGTTGAGCAAGAGGTCGAAGCCCCATCGTTTGAGGTTGATGTAACTATCATCGAAGAATCACTCAACTCTCTAAAGGTCCGCTCCTGCACAAAGTAAGAACTGATCCTTACCAATCTAGTCCTTAGAAATATAACAGGTAATTAAATTTGTTTTAAATACAAAACAAAATTTCAAAATTGCACTAGATATAGATATGTCTGGATACATCTGATCATTGGTCACATGCATGCACTGCATCTTAAGTCTGTTTACTGTCTGTTTAATTTGACTATTGCCTGTACTAATATGACTTGCCTGACAAGGCCGACTTGTTCCGAATGGCCAGTTGGTACAGGTGAAATAATTACGCTACACTGTCTCGAATTCGATTGAATGGGGTTACAGATGGCTTAAGTCTGGAGCCAGTGGAATGGCCGTACAGGAACTTGGTGTTCCAACCGGTTTTGCCCCTGATGTGGAGAGCATCGAAAAACTCCCTACTCTAAAAAAGACCGAGACGGAAAATCGCAAAGTCATTCTGTATTTCGACGAGGTATGAAACATTTGGATTTTTTTCTAAACATGTATGGTACATATTGTTTAAATATACTTTCGTTGCATGATTCACCATAATCGCTATTATCTTGTAAAACGCAAGAATTCCGTTAAATGCAAATACTGAGTTATCATAGCAATGAAATACCTGGTCTATTGAGAAAACACTTGTATTGAAATAACGGATCAATATAGTTAAGAAAAACTTTATGCTCATTTTAAAGGCGTCTAGGTGAACCTGGTTAACAGACCATTTCGTCAAACTTTTACAATTTATTTTATGATGAAAGTGTTAAACATTCTAAATAACCAAATTCAACGATAAAATTTCCACTCCGGATTAGTAATAATAATGACACAACACAATGGCATAAATGTACAAGTGATATATGGGGCGTTTTCGACTCCAAAGTCGATAGACAGTCAGAATAATTTGCATTCAGTCCATGTAGGATTAGATATAGATGTAATAATACATTTTCGATGTTTACTGGTCGCTATTCTGATATGAAATAATATTTCTCTCTTGTAGATTACAACTTCTCCCCTGTGTGTGACTATGGACGCCATCAGGACGGACCAGGTCGCCAAGTCCAAGCCTGCTCCAATCAGAGTATATGACTACTATGAGCCAAGTAAGATATAACACCTGTAGAGGGTCATTTGTACAAACTTTAACAAAGAAAACCTACCTATACTGTAAAATTACATAGGTTTCAATGTCATCAACTTTCAACTGACCGCCCTGGTGTGATGTTTAAACATGCTGTAAGATATCGGGTTTTAGATTGATTTAATCAATATTATTATTACAATAAACATATTACATGTTCAGATGGTATACCGACAGTGTTGTATGTAATGTTTTTCTAACAATATGGTTACTGACTGGCCTTCTGCAACACGACTGATGTGCTGATTTGGTATTCAGTGTACCAAGTGGCATTCTGTAATTGTACTTGCATAAATCAATTCTTAAATCATCAAGAATTTGCTGTTATAAACGAAAAAAGAGGTATTTTTATTGAAAAACGATATAAATGAAAATGTGATTTAAATTATTTACAAAACAGGTAACCAGGTGACTAAGTTCTATGAATCAACAGTCCTGAAGAACTCTGGTGTATGTGATGTTTGTAAGGAATGTGGATGTCCAGTAAGTATATCCTAGTAACCATGTATCCGTGAAATAAAACTATTTCCCTGTCTCATAATTCAATTTTCTGATGTGAAATTAATTTCAAAACTACAATAAGCAATTAAGCTCAGCGTATGGATAAAAATGTGTTTACACAGGTTACAGCTCTCAATAAATGTATGTTCATGCTTTTGTGTATTTTTTTCGTGAATTATAATAAATGTACAACATCCAGTGGTAAGTCAGCATTGCCGACACTTACTTACATTGTAAGCGATATAATCTTTAGAAAAAAGACCACATTATGAAAATCGGCACAGTGCTATGATTAAGTTTATTGTAATTTTATTAGATTGACTACACAAGGTTATATAACATACACTCAATCCATGTTATTTACTTAGTATATGATTAGTATACATCAACAATAAACATATGTCATCAATAAGCACTTTAAGGCTGCAGTGTAGTTTAATCCCACTGTAATGTTGTGCTTTCTTGATTTCAAAATTGTATAACCGCTGAAAATGTGATGATTAGATATTGGACATGATAGTTTGAAAAATAAAATATAGACGATATCTCGAGTTTCCAGACACGTAGATCACACAACTAGCTTGATGAGGCTATACTACTTTCCGTTCGATTTTTTTTCGTTACTTCAGTATTATTCATTTGTCCATAAGATAATTACCCCAATTTTATCAATGGTTAAGCAATATGTGATTTTTTTGATATAGGAAACTGTTATTTTTTATTAACAGTATATGTGCGAATTTGCTGTACTATATTTTTATGGCTATTTTGCAGGGAAATCGTTAGATTGGAAGACCAGCTGAATCTGAACAGAAATTTTATATGATAAGTAGATATCGCTTTTATATTGTTTCTCCTGTAAATAAACTTACTTTTTGTTGAAATATTTTTTGTCTATTCATTGCACATCATTGGTATTTTTTGAAATCACGAACAATCGAGAACCACAAAATCATAAAAACTATTTGATCAGAAACAAACATGAAACACCTAGGAGAGAGAAACGCTTTGCAAATATATTGCTGGAGGAACACAAGACGATGTAGCAATATTGTTAATTAACGAGGGCGAGCTAACCACTCGCAATACGAAGAGTAAAGCATATTCTGTGATATATAAGAATGAAAAATGACTTAATGTTGTTCTGACGTCTGACAAAATCCTACGTAAACATTTTAATATAGATGAAATAATGTGAAATGTAAATATAATTCAGGTAACATGTTAGCAGTGTTGTGCCCTTGTACGTAACCAGAACAAGTAATAAAAGACGGATCTCGGAGGCCACAATCGTGTCTTATTTGGTCATGTTCCCTTTACCCCTTACTTTCCTCTTGAATCGAAAAAAAAATCCATTAATATTTCTTAAAAACGTTAATTACCTGTTAAAATCAAAGATGGCCGTCAGCCAGTCAATTTGCTCAAAACCTTTATATGAAGTTAAGAATTATTCTTCAAGTTCTTACATTAGAACCCTTAGCATCCCTGATAAGGCCCCAAGTGGACGAAATAGCTATACAGGTTACTTTCTAAGTTCTTTCTACTCTAATTTCATTTTAGGTCAACTGATCCAAAGGGTCAAAATGATCTGTTGCTATGATGCATGAAGAGATCGTGATATTGTCCTGATCAAATTTTATTAGAATAATAACAATGGAATCAATATTCCTATAGCTGGGATTGTGACGTCATGATAACACAGAAATTATCCATCTAACAAATAAATAACAATAACAAACTACTTGTAAAGCGGTAAGAATCCAACAATCCACCGGTTTGATGTTTCGATCAGTTTCATTAAGTACCACATACCACACACACCTTACGGAACCTCCGCATGAGAATTTGAGAAGGACTCAGCTCTTTTCACGAAATAGTGGTAACAAACATTATTTAGGAATGAACGGAGTGACGGACGAAAGTTGATTTAAACAACCCATCATCTGATAATTCACAAGGAGCAAGACATTTTTCATTCCGATTCAAATGCTACCATAAACTTGCATTGAGTATTCCATAACGTTGTATTTGTGTTGTAAGTTCATCAGCTATCAGTTTCTGTCTAATCAAATCGTGATATAGCTGTAATTACAGCATACATATATATATATACTGAAATACTGAATCAAGTGCGATATATAACAATATAAGATTACTTTAACATGTCAAAAAAGAAAATTTAAATTGTCATATTAACTATAAATTATTCAGAATAATATGTCTTAGCTGGTCCAGTTTATGTCGTGTAAATTCAGTAGAGAGTGACCGACGAAAAAGGATATGTAGTGGCCTAGATTTTGAACAAATAAAGTATCCTTAATATACACAAATTGTCTCTTAAAGTGCTTTGTCAATTAAACGATAAGATTCGAGTTTGAAACTGTTCGAATTCATGTGAAATATGGCGAAGTTAACGGTTTACTTCAGATTTCCATGTAATGTTCTGCCATACCTCTATTATCTAAGGCTTCAGCGTGCCCTTCTTTGAGTTTTCTCATAATGAATGCAAATATTGTTGCCCAGGCAATACTCGTCTCGTCTGTAAACTTGTCCTGTAGTTCCTCGTGCCACGTATACATCATTGCCTCGGTAAAAACGTCAAAGTACTCGTTCTTGAATCCAGTAAAGTTGATATGTTGCCGTCCGAGGCCGAGAAGAAGTGGCGTTAAAACCTCTTCTATATGGTCAATGTTGTCCACAGCCGCTCCTACAGCTTGCATGAATCTGGAGGCATGTCCCTTGAAATTTTGATCTCGTAGCAGGTCGTCCCCTTCCTTGTCCCTGCAAGGGAACAACTGTTTGACATTCGGATGAAGTTGAAATATTCGAAGAAAGACCTTTATTCCATGGCCTGTTATATTGTTACACATCTTTTTCCAAGTGTTTTTGATAATAGTCCGCTGTTTATCAGTGACAAATTTTGTTCCTGTATCTGAGCTACCAGGTTTGATTGCTACTCGTACGGAATGTGAACATCCCATGTTGGTTCTGGTCTCTTCAACCTGCAGTGATAATACAACTCACTCGGCAGTATATACTGTGTATTTTGACTTGAGATATTGTAAAAATACACACAGTTTGCTTGTATGTTATGAACATTTGTTAACGTATATGGTTTACCATCTAAGCAATATATTGATCACATTAAGACCAATCATTCAATAATTCTAAAACGTTTCTATTCATCAGAACTTGTCCCTTTTATCACCAGAAATGTGTCGCCAAACAAAATTCATTTGTTAAATGTCTTCATTGTTTAAAATCTTCAACCAATAAAACAATAAACTACCTACCTGTTAACCGTTCAGGACATAGGTCCGCACACAGAATGACACAAAACTCCTATAGTGATACACGCCACATCCGATCAATTACACAGCAGTGGTCTCTGGCATCTAATATCGAAGTCTTCTTTTATAAGGCTAATTACCTGAGCAACATGAACAAACTTAATGAAAGAATATTGATAAATCTGACTCACACGATCAAACTTTTAGTGTTATTATAAATGTGTGATCTAAGAGAACATTCTCTCACACTGTTATTATAAATGTGTGATTTAAGAGAACATTCTCTCACGCCGTTATTATAAATGTGTGATTTAAGAGAACATTCTCTCACGCCGTTATTATAAATGTGTGATTTAAGAGAACATTCTCTCACGCCGTTATTATAAATGTGTGATTTAAGAGAACATTCTCTCACGCTGTTATTATAAATGTGTGATCTAAGAGAGCATTCTCTCACACTGTTATTATAAATGTGTGATCTAAGAGAACATTCTCTCACGCCGTTATTATAAATGTGTGATCATTCTCTCACACTGTTATTATAAATGTGTGATCTAAGAGAACATTCTCTCACGCCGTTATTATAAATGTGTGATTTAAGAGAACATTCTCTCACACTGTTATTATAAATGTGTGATCTAAGAGAACATTCTCTCACACTGTTATTATAAATGTGTGATCTAAGAGAACATTCTCTAACGCTGTTATTATAAATGTGTGATATTAGAGAGCATTCTCTCACACTGTTATTGTAAATGTGTGATCTAAGAATACATTCTCTCACGCTGTTATTGTAAATGTGTGATCTAAGAGAACATTCTCTCACGCTGTTATTATAAATGTGTGATCCAAGAGAACATTCTCTCACGCTGTAAATGTTTACGTTAGTTTGACAAACAAAGCTAGAGGGATATATAGCTGTGATTACATATCCAACATTAAATACTATATTGACTACTCTGTGTAGCTTTAGGACTTATCAGTTCATGGCGAAATGAAATCGTCAACAAATAGATAAATGTACATATAATAAATGGACAAACCGTTATTCCAATATAAAGTTACAGATATGACGCCAATCTTTCTTTGTTGTCCTGTAAAACCATTTGGATGATTTCTGTCCGCCTATTAACTGTTTCTATAAAGTTGTTCTATTCCACTCACAGCAATTCCGTACCATTCACCGTGACTTTAAATTTGGGACTCTTTTCCTGACACTTTCCTTCGATCATTAAAACCATTTTGAAATACCTCGAACACATCAAAATATCTAGGCGAAATGATTTGAAGACGATTCTATTCAATGACTTGTCCTGGAGTGAAAGGTTCTACTCTGACTCACCTGCTGCTGTTGAAGAGCCCGTGTTTACTTCATTGTCCATTTGAATGGATCTTTGTTGCTTATTAGAGAATAATGGAACCCGTTGCAACACGTAGGTTAATTTTGATGTCTGGAAAGATTATTGAAATGCTCAATTGGTCTCCTTCGATGCTAACAATCTAGCGCGAGCGTGATGCCAGTGTTCAAGTGTCTATCGAAGCGGAATAGAATTGGCAAACACCAAGTGAAACATTGTTTCGTGTTAATTTTAAATCGCCTTTAAACTACTGTTGATCTGATGACTATTTCTTACAAAAGACCGATATTGACACGATATAAACCCCAACAGAATGTCAACGTAATCTGTCGTTTGGTGATGTTACCAAACAGCTGCATTGGGTCACATATAAGAATAGCTTACGTTCCACACATGACAAGTTCCACAAATGTCGGATTTTTTGTTTAATCGATATGCAGATGGTTGTTGGGAAATCCCTGGGCTTGTGAACATTATCCTAGAATTTTATGTTTAAAGACAGTGTCGACAGGGTTAATAATTCTCAAGTAAGTCTTGCCATATCAATTCTCTGAAAATTTCTATAAAAGTTTGATATATCGACTTTATATTGAAGTACTTTGCGTATTCTAAAATGTTTTAATCATCTCCTGTATCAGAAGATAAAAAAAATCTTAGATGACACTATGTTAAACATCAGGTGTTATAAATCCGAAATTATTGATCCAGAATACCACCGATTACTGTTTGTGTCGCAGCGTCTGTAGGAAACCATTAGCGAGTTATTACACATATTAGGAAAGTCACGGGATTAACATCGGAATGACATCTAAGTCATTAGTGTATGTCCGTTTGTTACGAAAACCACATGGAAACATTTTACAACAAATCTGGGATTACTTCCTATCAAGTCCAATTAATATCCTTTCAAGACACACTAGTCTAAAACGGAATTTTCGTCATCCCCACGACGTTTATCGACCGCGTGTTTTTATGTTTTGATTCGCGTTGACTTTGGTGGATCCATTAATCCAGATTAGTCATTAACGAGGTAGGGGTAAAACTGTACCTAACGAACATATCAACGTTCTAGAATAAGAGAGGCCAAATTGGCCTGCATCGCTCACCAGTTTGTTAATTGACATTGTGCGGTGTAATATTAAAAGGTGACTGAACAAGTTTCAACAACCTGTCAAGAATTGAAACAGTTTACCTCCTGATGTTGAAAGTTTAATGGTTGTGCAGTTGAAGCCATCATATCAGCATGTTGTTGGTGAAATTTCAAAATCTAAGTTTTTAGGTCCAGGTCATTCATTTGAACAAACTTGGTAGCACTTCATCCTAGCATGCAACAGGTCCAATATCAGTACTCTGGGCCTTTTGATTATTGATAACAAGTTTTTACAAGACCTTTAACACATTTGACCCCTGTGACCTTGAAAGTGGGTAAATAACATTCATTTGAACAAACTTGGTAGCACTTCATCCAGCATGCAACAGGTCCAATATCAGTACTCTGGGCCTTTCAGTTAATGGAAAGAAGTCGTTAGAAGATTTTCATACGTTTTACCGATTTGACCTTGAAAGTGGGTCAAGGTCATGTCATTCATTTGAACAAACTTGGTAGCCCTTTATCCCAACAAGCTACAGGCCTAATATCAGTACCCTGGGCCTTTTTGATTATTTGGTCCTTTCAAGATTTTAACACATTTGGCCCCTTGAAAGTTATTTCAATGAAAGGTAATTCATTTAAACAAAGTTGGTAGCCCTCCATTCCAGCATATTACAGGCCTGATATCAGTATCCTGGGTTGTTCAGTTATTGAGAAGCAGTTAACTGAAGTGGTAAGTTGATGCTAGACTGATAACAAATGCCTCACCACAGTATAATCTCACTTGGCTAGGTAAGCTAATTACTAATTAAATATTTGCATATGTTTTCTTAACATCATCAATTGTGACTGTCTTACTTCATGGTTTACACCTTTGGATGATTTAGATGAAATTGGGACAGAATCCTAGCATTCCTTGTCAAGAAGGAATTTAAACAATTTGCAGTATTTCTCCAATTGGGACCAACCACTTCCATCGAAGGAGCACTTTTATGCAAAATTGGTTCCCTCTGTCCCCAAGATTCTTCAGACCAAATTTGAACAGAATCCTTTTATTTCTAGGGAAGAAGAAGAATTTGCTCTCTTTCCCCTATTGAGCACCACCTGTCTCCAGCCCCAGGGTGCCAAGAGCCATTGTTTATACAAAATTAATTTCCCTTCACTTGGAGATGATTAAATCCTATTTGGACAGAATTCTAGCTTAGAAAATACATGTCAACATTATCAAAATTGAATAAGACCAGGTGTTGCAGAAGATGCTTCATCTATGACACCTGCCATGTAAACCTTCTCCAAGTTAAGTAATGTCACATCCTTACATGAGAACACAGTATACAACAACAGAACCAACAGGCAAACGGAAGAAGAAGGATTTTAAAGAATTTGCTCTATTCTCTATTCCCACCCAAGGGTGCCAAGACCAACCGTTTATACAAAAATGATTTTCCTTTCCCCTCAAATTCTTCATACGAAATTTTGACAGAACCTTGAAATTTCTAGGGAAGAATGATGTTATAAAATAAAATAAGGTTGTTGCTGACAAAATTTCGTCAAAACCTGCTCTGTCGTTTGAGTTTACAGACAGACAACAAATGCCAAGCCATGGCATAAATTCAATTGTCCTCAAGACCTAGCATTTATACATGATTCGTTTTTTGGGTCAATATCTACTCATTTGTTCAAGTTGACAGACAGATGACAAATACTATGCCATGACATAAGCTCACTGGTCCATCGGACCTTGTGAGCTATAAATCTTTCAAAATTTATCTGATATATTCATTACTCTATAAATATGTTTTCCTTCTTTAACTGATCGCTATATTTCTGTACAGATTCATTTTAACCATTTTAACTATTTGAAAAATTATTTTATTAACAATAAAGCAGTATACATAGCCAATATATATATGTGTGTGATAAATGGTACCATCTGTGAATCAAAATAGTATTTTATAAATATTAAATATATTTTAAATATTGATTTACAATTTGTTTATAAACTATTATAAACATGCATATCTTGGTCATAATATAGTTTTGTATGATATACAAACAAGGCAGGTGACAAGGCTTTAACAAGAATAGTAAATACATTATAAAATGTATTATATCACAATGTTTGGGACTTTTTCTTTTTTCACTCTTGTGCTGAATGAAATTAAATGTTAAATAATACACACAGCCAATATCTTTTCTTTTCAAAATTCACATCTGTTTGATAAGAATTTGAAACAACCTGATGAAATGTATTGAAAAAAAAAAAAAAAAAGATAGACATATCCTATCAAATATCTTTTCAACAACCTAGCACTAAAATATATCATGTGAACAGACTCAGCACATTAGTTACCAAAATGGTACAACAAATCACAACATGATGACTGCTGTAGTGTTTCTTCACAAGGAGTTAACTGGGTATTTAACAAACACAGCCTATTTCAGTGTTGTACCTTTATCTTGAGAGGTCACATGTACTTTAAAATTTGATTCTAATGGTAGTTAACACAATGTATAAAGACTACAACAACAAATAAGTATTCTAAATGCGTAATTTTAACTCTGAGTGACTAAATTAAAAAAAATCCTGCATTACACAGGTATTTGCTGACAAGTAAAACTTGATTTGATAAGACAACAGTTCACAACTTATTTGTTTCATAACATTGATCTATGCATTCCCAGCAGAAACACCTCTAGTGTGTAGGAAGATGTACCTCTTATGTCATAAAGTTGAAGGACAAATTCAGCTGTAATATATAGTTTTATACAGGGAAGTTTCAGCATTGACTGACATTATTTAGAAAACAACTTTGCTGAAATCACTTAACACTTCCCCTTTTATGGCCCTTCCGCCCCCTCCCCCCCCCCCCCCCCAACCCTTCCACCCCCAAATCCCTAAAGGTCAAATCAACTTTCTGAATTTAAGAAATGATTACCCACCCACAATGATGTTGTTACAGTGGCCTAGAAGTTAAACTGGGTGACTGGTCACAACTATGGTATACTTATGACACCCGAGTGTTACTGACCAATATCTGCAGTGTGGAAGGCAGATTTAGGATCCCGTTCTCATAATACTCTATTGACATTGAACTATTCAACTTATCCCAAAAAACATATAGTTCTATCCAAACTCAAACACAAAAAATGCAACTTTTTAAACAAATCAAAATTAGTGGGAAAAAACCACATTGTAGAATTGTGTCGGCTATATTTTATGATACTCATACAAATATCTCTGGATACAGGTTGGTTATTACTGTTTTGAGAATTGTATTTTAATATAACATGGACACAATATTACAGATATCAATTTTTTTTTCATATTTTGGGCTCAACAGTTTCTGAATGAAATAAAATTGTTTTGTAACAGAGATATTAACACACTATAACACATGTACTCAGATTCATAAAGTGTGTACCTGTGTCAAAAACCGTAATGTTAACAAAATAATTGAATGGATCAAGGTCTAATTGCTAAAAAAAAAAAAAAAAAAAAAAAAAAAAAACACCAATTCATCAGTAAAAATATACAAGAGGCCTTGCAGCCTTGACAGTCACCTGATATAAGTAATATTGAATAGAAAGTTTACAGGGTATACAGTAAGTAGCTTGCAAGTGTCAGAAAAATTAAATTATGATATTAATGATAGTAAAACTGAAGTAATATGATTTCAGCCCCTGTGGACACTCAGGGTCAATACTACATGTCACCAATGTGTCATCCTATAAAGTAATTCTATACATGTTTGAATTATTTCCAATAGAAAATACACAAATATAGGTTAAAAATAGGATTTTCCTATCATATAACTGTATTACATTAATGGTTAATAGGTTGAAGTATTACAAAAGTTAGTCTTTTTCCTAAAGATTTCTAATTTCGAGGCACTGTTGATAAGTGTATTCCCAGTGTGAAATGCTACAACACAGTAACGTACACTGAAAATGTATGTTAAATGTATCCATCAGTCGTGTCATTTACACATTTACTGTCATCAAATTTCACACAATTAAAGATTTAGATCAAAGTAGTGATTAACAGGTCATTCTTGTATGAATAATTTCAGATCAGACAAGGTTGTTCACATAACTATATGTGGTCTTGTCATGTTGTTACTTCCTTTTCAAAAAAAAAAAAAAAAAAAAAACAAAAAGGGAAACTCGAATTTCACTGTCTTAATCAACATGTGAAGAATAATCTATGTACAAAGGTTTAATTTCAAATAATTTTCATTGTATGTAAATATTGGAGAAACATATGGAGGCATATCTTCTTAGGTATATATAAATTATCACTGAAATAACACTGATATCACGCATCAAATGACCTTGTTTTCCATTCAAAATATACATATTCACCAGGCTTAGCCAATGTGGGCACGACTAGCTGTCATGGTTGTCTGTGTGTCACAATAGACAGAATACCACAGATTATATACATTATCACATCATTTTAGACTGAAATATGGATTTATGAAAAATCAAGACAAACAGCCTTTAAAGTGAATTGTAGGTTGTTTTCATTTATCATTTGAAGTGATTGGTGCAGGGTTGATTGTTACACCTGAACTCTTGCAAAAGAAGTGGAGACAAACTGAATCGGCCAAAAATTTGATTTCCCTTCATCCAGGGATAACTTTGACCGAAATGGTACTGAATCCAGCCATTCCTACAAAACAAGGATATTATTTCTCCTTTTGGGCCCCGCTCAAAATGATTCCTCCTCACTTCACTTCATTGTTTAAAATCTGCTCAGTCATTCATGAAAAGTTGCGATATACAGAAAAAGTTGACAGATGTCGGATGCCTCATTATCCCTATAGCTCACTTGGCTCTTCGGGCTGAGCTTATAACCGGGTCAAGAAATAAAACAGATATTAAGTAATTGGGCTATGAAAAACAGTAGATGTAAAACAACTGGGCCATGAAACACTGCAGATGTAAAGTAACCTGGCCATGAAATACTGCAGATGTAAAGTAACCTGGCCATGAAATACTGCAGATGTAAAACAACTGGGCCATGAAATACAGCTGAGGTAAAACAACTGGGCCATGAAATACAGCTGAGGTAAAACAACTGGGCCATGAAATACAGTAGATGTAAAGTAACTGGGCCATGAAACAATGTAGATGTAAAGTAACTAGGCCGTGAAATACAGCTGATGTAAAACAACTGGGCCATGAAATACAGTAGATGTAAAGTAACCTGGCCATCAAGTACTGCAGGTATAAAACAACTGGGCCATAAAATACAGCTGAGGTTAAACAACTGGGCCATGAAATACAGAAGATGTAAATAAACTGGACCATGAAATACAGTAGATGTAAAGTAACTAAGCCATGAAATACTGCTGATGTAAAGTAACTGGACCATGAAATACAGTAGATGTAAAACAACTGGGCCATGAAATACTGCAGATGTAAAGTAACTGGGCCATGAAATACAGAAGATGTAAAGTAACCTGGCCATCAAGTACTGCAGGTATAAAACAACTGGGCCATGACATACAGCTGATGTAAAGTAACTGGACCATGAAATACATCAGATGTAAAGTAACTGGGCCATGAAATACAGAAGATGTAAAGTAACCTGGCTGTGAAATACTGCAGGTGTAAAATAACTGGGCCATGAAATACTGCTGATGTAAAGTAACCTGCCTGTGAAATACATCAGATGTAAAGCTGATGTAAAGAGACAGGTCCATGTAAAGTAACTGGCAACCAGTGGATGGGAGTGACACTGAGAAAGCATCAGTCTGGAATTTCAGACTTTCGGTATTTATTCTGATTGCTTAAATGAATATTTCCCAGATCAGGTTTATCACATGGGTAAGCCATCATTCTGTAATTTGATGAACCAATGTCTCCAGCAGTAAGACTTAAATGTGTCTAAAACAAATTACATCCTTATACCACCATTGTTAGAAAACTATACTGTAAAAATTCTTGCATTTCCACAAATAAAGTTTAGTGAAAATAGTGAAAATAGTGAAGTGCACTTGATTAAGTGATTTTGTTGACAATATATTAGCAAAAATACAATCATTATTAAAATATCAAGACAAGAATAACTTACATTACATGTATTATAAAAAAAACACAGTATCAGACACACAAAAATCTTCAGATTTAAACAAACATTATCAAACTGTTCATGTCACAAGCAGAAAATCTGACTTTTAACATAAACAAAAGAAAGGCATCGTTTTGTAACTGAGCACAGTTTTAAATACCCTGATACTGGTGTAATTAGTTTAGTAGAGAGTGAGTTTGTCAATAATGAAAACATAAGGACAAACCTTTACCTACTAAATCAATCTTTACAGGGAGTGGGTTTATATAGGCTTTAGCCTGTTGCCCAAAACTGATTAAATCCCCTCCAAGTGAATCTTTGTGAAATGAAATGCTCTTAGCTTTAGAGAAAGTTAGTGCAGAAATACATTTTCTACGTCCTCTCATTTGACATCCCTGTAGATAGATGTTGGAGCAATGTTTTTTATGAGAGAGGTTTTACAGAAATATTTTTTATGAGATTTTATAAATAACTTGTCATGCGTAGTGAAATCTTAATGGTTTACTTAGTTGATCAATAATTAAAAATAAAACAAAGTGACAAGAAATATCACTTTTATTCTGCAATAAACCTGTCACTTATAGGATGGGCTTATTACAGGACAATGATATTCCTTGATTTTTCTATCAAACATTACGCATGGAAGGAATTATAATCAGCTGAGGGAAGGGTAGACAGAGCAATTAAATCCACATAACACCAACTTAGAACTGTGTTCTATTTATGTGTACATACAAATGTCAAATCTCAAACAGTTTCTGATCAATAATTGTTCAGTTGTTAGAAAAAGCAACAATAAATAAAGTGATATTGATGACAGATGTTGTAGAGCCATCATTTGGCAGACATTGTGTTTAAAATGCAACATGCAACCCTGAAAAAGATCAAACCACACTCATTTTGTCACAGTTAATCATATGTGTGTCATGTCTTTGACCTTCCTGTATGAAAATACAGTAAAAAGAATGGCTACAAAAAACATCACAAATTAAATGGATGACTATGCTGGGCAGATCATTCTTGTCTCATTCTGGCTCCACAAATGCCGCAGGAAAAATTCCACGATGACCAGCGATCTCTCCCCACCTCCAGTCTAAAGCTTCCGCAACATGTTCACCCAGGAGAACACGATCTCCAACCTAAAACAACGAACAAACGATACCAAACACCAGCAAACAGTGTAAAAACTTCATTTTTTTCAAACAAGTTTTACATCTGAAATTACAATATAGCAAAGCTATTATGACATCTAAACAAAAGAGTTAAGACTTATACTCAGTGGTCAAAACATACACTAGCTGCAGGTGATACGACTCTGCAGGTCATGAAGTGAAATCGCATAACATGTGTGTCTTGCCAATGGCGGTGACTGCAGGTCAATATGCAACTATACATACCTGTAGTTTAAGCTCATTGGATCCTTCTGCATCAAAGTCGTACATGGCTCTTCCATACTGTACAGGAAGTTTAACATCCGAAGGTGTTTCTGGCAGAGGGTAACCTTAAATCACAACAATTAACTCTGAACAAAATCTCAATGAATTTATACAAACTTCATTTTTTCTAAAAAAAGGTCACACATTAGATTTAACAAGAAAAATCACTTTCATATATGAAAACAATATACATGTATGTATATCTTCATGAGAATTATGTTCTTTCTTCAGCTATTAAAAGTTTAAATGACAATCAAAGGAAGACCATAGTTACCTGGAAGTTGCTGCACTTTCTCTACAAAATTGGATGGAAACATTCCTGTTTTGTTATTGATGGTTCCTCTACACCAATCTGGACCCAGATTTTCCAATATCAGTATTCTATCACCTTCAGAAAAACTCAACTCATCATCTCCTTCACCACTGAATGCATGAAGAGCAACACAGTAAGTGTCCAAGGGGAGATCACTCTCCTGTCCAGCCAGATTTTCATTTGTAGTATTTTGTGTTACAGTTTTCACTTCTGGGTGATATGGAGTCAGATCTTTCGGCACAGGATCAATAAAACTTGCTGGGAATTGTCCACATTGTTCTTGAACTTGCCCGTATAACCATTCCTCGTTCACAATGCCAATGACTTTCACCTTGTCACCAACCTTGGAAACATAAACATTTTCCTCATTCAATTCATCAAAGTCTTATAAAACTGATACCTTGTTAAGTTTCTGTTTTCCATTTATTCTGTAAAGGTATTGACATATAGTAAGTACAACCTTTATAATCCTTTATAAACATTTCAATGATCTGTTTAAATCTAACATATCAGAGTGGTCTATCATTTTTAATTACAGTTAATCATAATTCTTTCAAATAACTGGCCATGAAAGCTCAGTCAAAACAGCACAGAGTATTACCATCTCCAGTGAAGATCTTAAGGGTGTGGTTCAATGATCACTACTTGGAACATGTTTGCATTTCACAGGTGCAGATCTGATAAACCGAGACAGAGGTCATAACCAACAAATACCAGTCAGTTTCTCAGCTTCCTGAGAAACACTAACAACCACTGGTGGGGATTCTCAAACCACATCAAAGGATTCTTCACTTGAAGTTGCTGAAGTCACGGCTATGCTGACAGAGCCATTAAGGCCTATTGACACTTTGTTTTATCAAAGATATGAAAGAAAAAAAGTATACTTTTAAAGGAAGGTCTCCTGGATCAGATCCATCAAAGTTGTACATCACTATGGAAACTGGAAACTCTTCTGGTGATTGTGGTTTGGATTCTGCTGAGATAGGACTTGATAAATTTCCAGAAACTTCAGATATCTGTGGTGTTTCTTCGGTTTTCTTTAATGGAAGATCCTCTATAATTTCTACATACACCAATGGGAAAATCCCTGTACGTCCATTGATCTCTCCTTCAGCCCATTCATCACCTAATTTCTCCAGCAAACGAATATAATCTCCTTCTTCAAACTGGAGGTCCTTTTCTCCTTCACCATCAAAGTCAAACCTAGCACAACATCTGGGGCCTTGACCAATTAAATCAGGTTTCTTTAGCGATTGTGAATCCACTTTCTCGTAATTGTCATCTCCCCAAGCTTGAATAGGCTCAGCAGTTCTATCTGGGCCAATGGCAGGTGACTGAAACATTCAAGTTAAGTTTGTATAGCTTGTAAGTTTATCCAAACTAATTCATTTTCATAACTAAACTTTATGTATATTGGAGAGGCAAGCTATGACATGTTTGTGAAACACTATGCCCCTGGTTGCAACAAAATGCTGAAGTGGACATTAAAACTGCTGATTGCATGCACATTTTGTGAAACACTTATGTCTTACAAAGCATTAGTTAAGGCCAATGTTTTGATTTATCAAATATAAGTCAAAGGTCACTGTCAAGGTCACATGGCCAAAAATAACATTTTTGAACCACCAGCAAGATCTTGTCACAAAGAACACACATGCCAAATATGGTGCAATAGTTAGGGCCAATGTTAAAGAGCCAGACCAACTCCGTTATAGATATTTTTTTCATAGCTTATTGACTCAAAATGTTGTTGTATACTAATAGATAATATATAAATAAAGACTTGTACATAGTTTCGAACTTGAAATTGAAAGGGTACCGGAGATATTGGTGCCTGAATTATTCTCATTAATTAACACCAGGATATGAATATTGATGAGAAAAAGTCACGTGATACGTTCAGACGTGGTCAAAACCAAAGCAAAAATGGAGGAAGAGGTGAGTAGTACATCCATATGACATCGCTTGTAAAGAGATTTTTCTGATAAATGCAATCAATACTCTATATATCATGTACGGAAATCATCTAATGAAAGTATTGTTCACATCTTTCAATGCTTAGATATGACACAAAAATGTGCAGATTATGAGAAAAACTACAATTAATTGCAAAGAGGCCCTCAAATTGGGGCTACGATACGGTATCAAACATATAGAACATCGCAAAATGGATCTATCTTAAGTGAATATTTGATGATAAGAGTATTTATGAATATGATTTTAGAGTGATACTACACGAGAGAGTCAGACGGAGAGTGATACAGAGTATGAACCATTCATCTTCCTTCTTTTCGCCTCAGAGTCAGTCAAAACACGATTTCTTCCCCGCTTCCCTTGCACGCTTTCTGCCATGATTTATTTACAGTTCTTTGAATAATATCAGTCGAGGAGAGGGTCTGACTCTTTGAAATTTTTCAAATGTAGGTCAAAGGTCACGGTAAAGGTCACATGGTCAAAAATTTTGGTCTCATCACCACAAGGAACATACATGCCAAACATGAAAACCTTATCTCTCACGTTGCAATAGTTATGGGCAAGGTTAAAGTTGACAACAGACAAATAGATAGCACAAAAATATATGCCCCAATCTTTTGATTCAAGGTCATAAAAATGAGCCAAGACTTTAACCCTTCATAAATATACATTATATGTTTAACTAAGAAATTGAACAACAACTTAAGAAGTCTTCCCTCTTGGAAGAAGTGAGTGAAAAACACAATCCCTGCTGCCAAGGTTTTTATACTTATAGATCAATTTCACACAATATATTTGTCTACTGAAAGTTGCAACAGGCATGACACCTGTTAAATATACTAATAAATATCAGTAAATAAATAGATAAATGAATATGTACATGGATTAATAAATCAATATCTTTATATTGAAAGACACCTGAATTACACCTGATGATACAAACCTGGTCAGACAGAGGTATTACAATTTGTATAAACTCAGCTGGGAAAATGCCCTCTCGATTGCCAACTCTACCCTGTAGCCAGGACTCGTCCATGCGGCCTACCAATAGCACTGTATCTGCAGCCTGAAAAATTACATTTTTAATTGTTACTTAAGGAATGTGTCAGTGTACAGTGGACCCTTGATAATCCAGGCACCTTTGTACCCAGCCAAAATGTTTGAATTACAAGCATTTTTGGGATTATTGAGTTTAGTCAACTGGCCAATATTACCGCAGTTAACTCCTGTGAATACCTGACAGTATGGTCACAGAACATTAAGATAGTATCTAATGTGAAGACAGGTATTTATTTATGTCTTTCATTGTCTTGAGACCAGGTGGTGACCATGGATACACACCTGTGTCCAGGTGTGTCAAGGTGTTCACCAAGGTATATTTCTGACATGAAAGTGATGTCAGCACCTGCTGACATTGATATGTGTCTTCCAATTAACATGTAGGGCAGATATTGAAGAGTTCACGGGATAGATTTGTTACTTGTTCGTGTTTGTATCAAGAAGTTTCCATGAACATTTTTCACTAGTTTTATAATACCTGTACACAACACACTGTACAATCACTGCTGTAAAAACACTGATTATAAAACTAACATATTATATGAGACCCCCACTATCATCTGGCCGAATTGACGTCACAGATTTTGGGTGCTGAAGATTTCCAAAAGTTACCAGAGGAAGCTGAACTGTGGACAGGTAATCAAACTCATCTGTAGTTGAACAAACTTAGCTACAACTAAATTGGTGATGTCAAAATATAGACATCTACTAAATGTTGTTGCCGGTGACCTTTAAGGGATGATGATCATTATTAATCAAATTTCACTTCATGTTGCTATGATTCCTATCAATTATTAATTACATTTTTTCTTTATTTTTTTACCTTGTGCAAGTTTTACAATTAAATGATGTTATATCCTGGTTACTATCAACATACAAAGCATTAACAGAGCAACAGTTTATCTCTCATGATTCAGGATTTAACACCAAACGTTTACACACAACACTGAACCAATACTCAAAGGTAAACGTGTCAGGTGATGACCTGGAAGTGGTCACCATGACTACACACAGTGGTATACTGTACACCTCTGGGTGACTAAACACATGAAATTCGTGCCATGCTTTAACAAAAAATGTCCTGATTATGGTAGGAACAATACTATGAAAAGTCAATTCCGTTCCCAAAAAATATTTCTGTTCCCTAACATTTCTGTTCGGATTGTGAGTTTTCCTGTTTATCAACGTCTGAATTATCACGAGTTCACAGTACATTGAAATATTATAGGAAATTTAAAAACCATTTTTTGTTCTTGCATATGATTTAAGAATTTCTGAATTGTTTAGCAATATTAGGTGTAAGATCTGTTTTGTAGAAATAGAAGTTCTTATTACACAACCAGCAGCAGATTGAAGTGTTACATTTTGATAATGACACATCAACTTCACCAGACAAACGACCAATGTGAAGTTTACTAGATCTGATGTACTTGGTGTATGAGAAACTACACACGAGATGGTAAAGATTCAATTGATTTCTTAGGCTATTTCATAATTCTTTGTACACTTAAGTCAAAAATGTGATGAGATTATAAAAAGATTTTAGGAAAAAGTACACAGGATGGTAAAAATGTACTGTAGTTGATTTGGCTATAACTTATTTAAGACTTAGTCACAGATGAGCAAGAGTCTGTGGCCCTTCCTCGTCCCTGTTTAGTACTTGCCAAAGCAGCATATCCAGATGGCCTCCTTAATAGGACACCTAAAAATGTTGTTTTCCCAGTCAATGATATGATTTTGCTGTGTGCAATGATCTGTAAGTGCCGATTTATTGATCTGCGACTGAGAATACTTTTGCTCTCATCTGGTGAATTTTTTGCCTTCTTGTTTCGGACAGAATTGATCATCTGAGAAAGGTTTCATGGCTGTTCCATGCTCTTTCCAAATTTGTTGTTAATTTTCTAGATTGCCCAGTTATCAGGGTTTCCATATGTTTGCATGGCACTATGGATGTAACTTGATTCTTGTGTTTTGTCTTGAACCTCGTATTGACAATCGTTTGACATCTGTTGAGCAAAGTTTGTACAACTTCCAGTGTAAGGGGTGGTGTAATCAGAAGGTATTGTATGTCGTTTGCCTACATACAGATTCTTTAATTGTTACTTCATTCTTTTTTATTAGAAACGCATCCAGGAATAGCGCCATCAATTTCTTCGTCCCAGGTGAATCTGATGCTGTTGGTGGTATTTACAATGTTACCATCTCATCACACTATTTCTGACCTGAGAGTACATAGGAATATACTGGAAAAGATACTAGATTCCCTGTTGACAGTTCTAGTATACTAAGTACAGGTCATTTGTCTGATGAAGGTGACTGTCGATAAAAGGTCACACTCCGATCTTCCACTGGTTGTTTCACAAGAACTCATATTCTACAGACAAAGCCAACCTGGAGGAAATGTTCTGAAGTGATAGATATGTTTTATAACCATGAGCAGTTATTAAATTCTTATCAACTTATATCTATTTGGCAATAACACATACCTGGTGAAAGCCCACCCAGAAAAAGTATTTGTTTTTCTTTGGCTACTAACTTCAAGTTCACACACATGCATCTCTTACTCAAAGTCAGGTGATAAGCTTAGTACTGAACACAGAAAAATCCTATTAATTCTACAAAATAAAGCATTGCTTAACTACTCTTTTAGGGCCCCATCCTTAGATCCCTAGGGGTGGAATCGGCTATCTGAATTCAAGAAATGATTCCCCATCACCAGTGAATGCTTCTTACCAAATTTGGTTGAGATCTAATGAGGCATTAAGTAGGAGTAGTGTTTTATAAGAAATGTTTACTGACAGTCCATGATTACGGATGATGCACAATAGCAATAGGTGATCTTCACTCTTCAGGTCAGATGACCTAAAAACTGATATCATAAGCGTTTACAAATCAGCAATGTCAATTGGATTTCATGTCAGAGTCCTTTATTACGGTAATAGAAAATCTTTATCATTAATCAATATTCTAGATATCTTACTTTGAAAGAAAGATCCCCTTCATGCACTCCATCAAAATCATGCAGTGCTACCCCATGAGGCACCCCAGCCATGTAGTGGTACAGTGGATGGCCGGGAGTGGGGCGTGGTGGAAGGCTGGGTGGGGAGAACGGCTCTCCAGGGGCAAGTGGCTGTGGCATACCTAGAAATCAAATAAGTGTCATTATCAGTCTTCAAAATGCCAAGAGAAGTCACTGTGACAGAGCTACATCTGAAAATCACTTCAGGCTATATATGACACCTTTTAACAGATGTACATTAAAAAACATTAAAAAGTTTTTTGACCATATAAATAAAACTATTTCTAAACTAACATTTTGTGACTTTCTATATTAATTCTAAATTATGTTAAGTTAACAGATACATTGATTAACACACAATGAGGTATATCTACTATGATTTTGACTTATATACTGTAACTATGATGCTCAGAACTCACTTGTTTTTCTCATAGAGGCAGGTCTGGGTGGCTGTGGTTTTTCTGGTTTGTCGCCACCCCTGTTATCAAGATCAGAACATTGATGTATTTAATTTCATCAAAATTACACACAAAAACTGTATTTATTTTGAAAGCTTAAAAGTTTTGAATCAATATTATCTTGAATGAGAAATGGATTCCTGACTCAACATACCATGGAAAGAACAAGACATAGGTAGTCAAAATGATCTTCACTAATTGCTTTTAATGAAGAAATAACAAAAAACTTTATAAAGGAAACAATGAAGGTGTGTCAAGGTAATTCATTTTAACAAATTTGATTGCCCTTCATTCCAACATACTACAAGCCAAATATCAGCACTCTGGATCAGTTGGCTATTGAGTGCATGACTACAGATGACACGATGGGTATAGGTCATCCTGACCTGACCTTTCAGGTCTGATGACCTTATAACACAACTTTTCTTCCATGCAAAGTACATTTTGTATTTTTGTCATTCAGAAAAAAGGATGAACTTCAGAGTGATCTTCAACAAGACATAACTTTTGAATAAGTTTTTGATTGAGAAGGTCATTACCTGGAGTTTCCTATACTAGAAGATGCTGCTGGAGGAGGACGCGTTGGCGCCATGCTGGTAGGTGGTTTTCCTTCTCCTGTTTCCTTTACTGGAATTAATCAATTAATTGTTAATTGATATCTCAAAGTAATAATATCTCCATCCTTTTGTACACTTATTCTTTATCATAAAAAAAGAAACGGAACGTAAAGATTAGAGTTCTAAATTTTAATAAATGCGTCAATAGTTCTCACCAGCATCTAACGACAGATTAACATTTTCAATTCTAAGAAGCTGAAAGTTTCTTGCTTCCATGAGTTTTGAAGAAAGATAAATAGTTATGGTTTAGGATTTGTTTTTTGTTTTTATCTTTGTTTTATGTTTTTTTTTATGTTTTTTTGTGATTTAGGATACTGATTTAAATTGTCAGACACAAACTCTTTACTGCAGATAAATGTTATAGAAAATACTAGTAATATGTACATTCAAAATCATATTAAATTAGTACATTGGTATTGAACAATTAGTAAACGAAGGTCTTGAACATTTTGACAACATTGAATTTTATACACAGTTTGTAATTGAAAAAAGCATTGATCAATATTGAATTTTGACATAGATTGAAGGTTTTTAACCACGATTTTTTAATAATGACATATTTTTCAGTCTACAATGATGTATATAGTCTGTACTATCCCATCTCTCTTGCACACAGACGACTGCGAAAGCTGGTCCCGCCCCCTTTAGCTTAGTCTGGTGGATATGCATATTTTAAATGCGAAACAAGGTCATGTGATGTGAGAATCATATGAGAAGTGCTTGCCTTCTACATTACCGTTTACTGTCAGCTTTTCCCATATTGCCAATCAAAGCATGTATGTGATGTAGATAGTCATATGTTTATTGGTATATTTTAACTGCTGGGATTCAAATTTGTTTAATTAATTTGTCCAGGATATCCATAATAATTGGCTTGTTAACAACATGAACTGAGTACATGTGTAAATGTCTCTTTAACGCCTGTATAATCAAATCCCATATCACATATCAATAACTTATTTCATAATAGTAACAGCTGTTCTTACCAAGGTCATGTATTCAGAGATGTTGTAACATAGTGGTATAGCAAGACAGAACAGAATCATATGAGAAATGTTTTCTCTCTACACTACTGTTTACATATTTGACATGGTCAGTCAAAATAAGACTTTGACACCAAATGTGTGACTGGTCACCTCAAACTTCTCACATAACGAGTACTGGCACTAGTGCTATTTCAATTATTATATTACATTATTATCACATGAAAACTAAAATCGTGGCTGAAACCCAATACTATTGAATTTTGTATGTTGGTCTTGAACAATTGGTCAATAATGAATTGGACTTATTTTGATTGTTTCACAATACCAGTGTTTGTGTCAGATGAAGTGAGATCTGTCATACCCTTGACTGTCCCATCATAATCCACTGGTAATGTCTTCATCTCTCTTGGTTGAGGTGGAGGAGGTCGGCCAACAGGAGGCTTTGAAGCTATATAAATAACAAGAGGCCCATAGGGCATGTAGTGATCACCTAGATCTTAAAAGCCAAGCAATGGTATTAAAGCTCAGTCACTTAACCTCTTTGACAGGGCTAGACCCAGTGTCTTCCTCTTTTGATTTACAGTAAGTTAATTTGGTTATCGGATTGGTATCTCAGCTATGTCAAAAATATGACCCAGAAATAATGTTCCTTGAGGTGTGCCACACCCAAGGGTCAATTTATATATAATAAATGCCTTGATCTTTTGATGCAAAGCAATTCTATATATACTTATATGTTTATGGGGCGAGGATTTCGACTGTTTCAAAAGGGTGGACCCACACCCAAGGGCCAGTTCTTACATCATGAGTTTGTTTACTTTATATATATTGCTATGTATATGGTAAACCGGTTGAGATCTCAACAGTTTCAAAAACAGTATATATAAAGAGACTGAGTCCTTTGTATTTAGACCAGACCCCAGGACCAATTCTTACATCATGACTGTGTTTATGTCTTGACCCCCAACATTGCTATATATGGTTATGGGGTGGGGATCTCAACCGTTTCAAATGAGTACCAAGAGACCCTAGGAGAGAATTTGCTCTATTTCCCCTATTGGGCCCTGCCCGTCCTGCCCCAGGGGGTCAAGACCACCGTTTATACAAATTTGTTCCCCAAGCCCAAATGATGCTTCAGATAAAATTTGGTTAAAATTGACGTTGTCCTTATGAACACAAATGATTTATAGAAAAATTTGTGGGACAGACGTTAAACGTTGTTGTATGCCAATAAACAAAATATTATGAAGGATAAAATTTGGATAAAGAAGCAGTGTCGCTGTATCACTAACAACACTTAACATCATATATATCTATAGGTCAAACATATTCTAAATGTGATTGATAAACTGAACACCAGGCAAAGAATTGTATCAGTTATAATATAGTATTCCATAGTGCTTCATCACATATCAAGTGAGCTCATCAGTCAACATGAACAAAAACTATAAAACGTCTGTGACTTCCTCACTAACAACGATCCGCCATCCACAGCAATAAGTGTTGACAAAAAACCAGCACAGCCCAAACAAAGATAGAAACTTAGGTCCAACTGTTGATCCGAGCATAAAGTTGGATCCAAGTCTCCTTATAGTTGGTAAGAGATAAAATTGAGACAGGAGAGGACAGGAGAAGATGGAATGGACGTGAGTAAAACTATCCCCCCCACCACCACCCACCACCACCCACCACTTCTCCATCTTTATATATTGCTATCCATAAAGGAACTGACTAATGATACATTTGATGATTTTGATATCAATATTCCTAAATAAATTCTGTTAATAGATTTGTTAGTACATATATTACTGATGTTTTACAGCTTGTGATATGAACATTTCTATTTTATTCAAACCTTCAACTATTTTGTGATGAAGCATTAATTGAAATGTTCATAAGTATACTAAAGAATGTTTATATCCACATCTCCTCCTCCCCAACAATTAAATTCATCTGATAGCACTCCAGATGTGTACGTGAAGTACATTAAATGTATTAAGACTAACACACTGACCCATTTTACTTACATTCTGGTTTGGTCCTTGGTCTAGGGTCAAAACTTGTGGGTCTAGGAGGCAGGTGATCCCCCTGGGATGGTGACGAACAGTCAGAAATGTCCTCCTGGGAATCGAGATTGTACACGGCTGATTTAGGTCTTGAAGCAGGTGCAACAGGTCTACTTGGCTTTTTTCCATCAGAATCCTGATTTGTTTTTACACTTGGTGGAGGAGGTCGTCCAATGATCTTAGGGCGAGTAACTCCATCACTTTTTTTTTCCTCAGAGGTTACATTTGCTCGTGTTGCTGGTTTAGGTCTAAACTGGTCGACATTTATAACTTGATTGCTCTCTTCACCTTGAACATTACCTTGAAGACTAAAACCATCTGGAATTGATGCTATAGAAACAGGACGCTTCTTTGGGAGAGGTGGTGCTTTATTGCTTTTATTGACTAGACAATCATCAGCTGTTGATTTCACGCAATGTCTCCTCTCAACAACATTCAAACTCTCCTCTACTTTCTTATCTTCTTTCACAATGTCTAAATCCTCCTCCTCATCCCCGGTGGAGTTAAGGATGGATCGTTTGGGTTTAGGTGGTGCACGGATTATTGTTGGCCGTTTTGAAGCCTTTGTAGCCGGCATTACTGGTTTCAAACTTTCATCCGCTGTTTTTGTCACATTTATGTCCTGGTTTTGTTGTTGGTCGACCGGTAACTGTTCTGACGTATCAACAGGAGACACAACAGCTGATGTTGGTGTAGAGGATACTGATGAAGATGAGGTATGATTGATCTTGTTTGGTTTAGGGAGAACATTCGGTTTAGGTTTTGGAGTCAGTGGAGGGGGGGGTTTATTTCCAGCTGTTACAGACATACTGAAGTGAGTGTCTGTCTTAGTTTCAAACCGTTTCACACTATCAGCTATTGACATGGACTTAGGCCTCTCTCTGGCAGCTGGTTTAGGCCTCAACACAGGAGGTACACTTGATTTTTCGGAGTTCTCTGTATCTATGTTATCTCCCTTGATATTTTGTTCCTTAACACCAGATGTCGCTACTTTTGATCTTGGAGATTCCTCCTCCTTAGAATTAGGCACAGAAACTTTCTTCTGTGGTCGAATTATTGTAGGACGAAGTGGCTTTTTAAATTGTGTTTGAACTGTGACATTATCAGAAGTTATGTCCCCTTGTGAATTTGATAGTGATATTGGTTTTAATGGAACAATGGGTTCCTCCCTTTGTATTGTCTCATCAGATTTCATTGTTTGCTCCGGGTTTGATGAGAGTGTTTCATCAGATATTGATGATGAATTCCTCGCTGCCACCCTCGGGCGTGGTGAAGGAGGAGGGCCGTGAATGGAGCTGCTAGATGGAGGAGGAAGCCGACTAGGTATCTGTGGAGGAAGTCGAGGAGGTCTGCCACTTGGCGGGGATGAATCATCTTTTTTGTCGGTACGAGGAGGTACCTCTATCAGAAAACAAAAGATTATATAAATATCAGTATGAATATTCACATCAAATGTGTGAAAGTCGGCAATAAATGTTTTAAATTACAAAAATTAACCTATGTCTATTGCAGGAAAGTGGAAAGTCACATGGCTACCACTGTTTATATTATAAAACCAAGAAATATTTTACCTCTTGTTACACATGAATATGAAGTATAATGAGGTGATAAGACACATGGTACATATGACTGTGCAGTGTTCCTTCCACTGACCATGTCCAATATGAACATACACAACAGTGTTGAAGGCAGACACCTCATCAACAATCCTGTTTCTTTGTAATATCCTTTTTTTTCAAATCTTTTATTGTTTGAACTGAATGGTAGATATTGTTTTAGTTTTATGTAAACCTGAACCTTCAAAACTGTTGAAACAAGAGATCCACAAGCTGGTACATGATACGCCCATCATAGGTCAAATGAGTGTTTAGAAACAAGAAAGGCAAGGAAAATGATGTTTAATTTCTGATCAACACATAAAGGTCATTTACAGACAGTGATAGTTTGTATATTGGAGAGGGAAACTGGAGTAAACCAGTCAGCATCAATGGCATCAGATGGTTGTGAAAAATACTAAGGTTAATGTTTAAGTTTTCAGTTCCATTTTGTTAATAATACATTTTTCATATTTATTCAATGTGTTTAATGATATGGTACTAAACTTTTTTCTTTTTCACTTTTTGACATCTTTAAATATGCATTGTTAAGTCTGGCTTTAAAAACGAGTTTGAAGTTTGAAAGTAAGCACTGTGTGTTTAGGTGTGTCTTATTAGGTAAATAGAAGTCTACTATCACTGAAATAAAACTTTGACGTCACATAATCCTCGTTCCACCCTTAAAAAATGTACGAAAGCAAGGTTAAAAGGATAGAACTAGCTCCCACAGTCATCTGTGTGTCAAGAGAAATGGGATCTAACAGACTGCTTACATTAATGCACCTCTTTAGACTGATATTTGAAGTTATGATAAAATCATCACCAAAACCCTTTAAAGAAGCAGGTTTCTGACTTACTGAGTTTGTTTTGTTTTCAGGATATCTATTTCTGGTAAATTTTTTCTTTCCTCAAAAATAGAAAAAGCTTGCACCAGTTACAAATATCAATTTAATGGTAGCAGTGGTCTTACCTGTTGGTGGCTTTGATTGGTTAGAGCTTGTTGACGAGTTTGAATTATTTGACTGGTCTCGGAAGCCAACTTCGCTCATTGGTCTCGCACAAATGATGGTAATCTCTGGACGTCTACACAGTTACAGAGAATAGTTGATCAGATACAAAATAAAACAAATTTCAATAATTTATGTTATATATTGAATAAATGTAAAAACATTCTAGAAGCTTTTAAAAGTATTGAACTTCAAGAATTATTCTGTGAAATGAAACTATATTTACTCTTTGAGTCATACCACATACAAAACATACAAATAATTTGGCAGAGGTTTGATTTTTGACAATCAGATCTCAGAATCTTGGTCTTTTTCTGTGGAACTCATTGATATTTTGGAAAAAGAATTTTGGATTCACATAAAACATAATGCAACATACTACAAGTATTAGTTACATGTACGATTAAACTTGTTTAAATGTTCTTACAAACCTGTCTATCTAGGTCACTCAAACAATTAAAGAAGTATTACCATTACAGACAGATGGTCTCTATTCACAGGTCAATTATATACCATTAATTAACAAGAGGCCCAAAGGGCCTAAAAACGATATCTTTAACTACATTATACATATAGTGGAAATGTAAACTGCGCAAAAATTAACTGCTATCCCATACTAATGCTTCTATCCAAGTTTGAATTACGAGAAATTAAACTTGAAATTGAATACTCCTATATAAAATCTTCTATGAGCAGTAGAAGATCCTTGAATTTTCAGTTAATTTGACCCATTTTTGGCCCATAAGACACGTCCATCCATGAAGAGTATTTGAATCTACTTTTTACATTATTTTCTACACCTTTGGCCTACCCATCAGTCCCTGGGGGGGTCAGACGCCTGTGAACTTTGAAAAGAAAAAAGGTCAATCACATGAACAAAATTGATAACCGCTTCATCCTAGCATGCCACAGACCCAAGATGAATACCATAAGCCTTTTGGTTAATAAGATAGGGTTTTCCATAATAGGAGGCTGTCCTGCCGTGTATGTGCAGTCGTGTACGGAATATTATTACGGAACTGGATTGGTGTAGGCGGCCAAATGATTAAATTGGCCGGCGACCGGCTCTTATGGAAAACCCTGTAAGAAGAAGTTGTTTAAAGATTTTGACATATCTGACACATGTGACTATGGAAATGGTTAAGGTCAATAATATAAACACCTGTGGTAGCCCTTCATCTTCGTATGTTACAGGTCAAATATCAGCACTCATGGTCTTCAGGTTATGAAGAAGTCATTTAATGAGTTTGACATATTTGATACCTGTGACCTTGAAAGTAGGTTAAAGTCAATAATATGAACTTGGTAGCACTTCATCCCAGGATGCTACTGATCCAATATCTGCATTCTGTGCCTTTTGTTTATTGAAAACAAGTCATTTAAACATATTTACCACCTGTGAACTTGAAATTGGATAATGGTAATTCATTTTAACAAACTGGGTTGCACTTCATCCAAGAATGTTACAGGCACAATATCTGCACTATGGGCCTTTTGGTTATTGAGAGGAACTTGATAATGTAAACTGTTTACAGCGCAGGACGGACGGCGCCAGACAAAAGGTGATCACAATAGCTCACTTGAAACTTCGTCTCAGCTAAAAATTGAAATATGTGACCTTAATAGGGAGGAAATTCAACTTTTGTTGAAAAACAAACCTTTTTGTTGTTGTTTTATCACCAGATGTAGAGGCAGGCCTTGGTGGTATCTTCGTCTGATCCGATTTTAATCTGGAGCTATCCCCCCTCAAAGGCACAGGTTGTGAGCCAGGCAAAGTGGAGGCTAAAAAGACATTAATTATAATCATTAAATAATTTTACTTTAGATTCCTGGTATGTTTTGTATGATTGTCATCACATTACTGTCAGTGTCATTTTGAGGCAGGGCCTCCTTGTATCAGCTAGTGGAACACTGAGCAACTTATAGAAAGTCCATCACATGTCATTCAGGGCAACTGGGGTAAAGTAGTAATGTACCTAGCCCCAGAATCATCGCGAGTGTGCAATTCCATTGAATTATACGACCTATACCAGTCAAATGATGGAGAAGGCATTAGCCGCCGAACTTTAGTCGCCAGGTCGTTAGAATACTTTGGTTCGGATCTTCTCGTGCTGAGTGGCACCGGTGTTGCTAGTCTTCTTGTGTTTTGAGGTAAAGCATCAAGTTTGTTGAGGCTAGTGTCGAGCAGTGATGAAGATGAGGTTGAGATAGGACTGGACAAAATTGCCAATCAGATTGTCCATGACGTAAAAGAATCATTAGTTGATGATAAGAAGTGTCATGCCAAAGTCAATATGGACACTGCCCTTGACTGTGTCAGTGCCACTTTATTATTATTGCTGTTCAACTTTCCACAAAAACAAGATTTTCAGTAATGGCGACCTTCATCTGCATATTGTTTGGATTGCCCAAGGATGACAGAGTGGCATCATACAGATTTTGAAAGAGCACATACCAGTGATATAGAAACAGCAAAAAAACTTTGCGATGCATGCCTGATGGTATCTGCCACTGGCCTACAACATTTATACACAAATGATGCTGAAGAGATTGAAGGCTGATAAGGATGATGCCTAATTTATGACAATTGATGATGATGATGATGATGATGATGATGATGATGATGATGATGATGATGATGATGATGATGATGATGATGATGATGATGATGGCAAAGGTAACAGATAAAAATTGGAACTTCAATGAATGTGTGTGTACATATCTTGTCATGCCTAAAAAAATGTAAAAATCTGACAAAAAGTAGAGTAGTAAATAAAGTATTACCAGGTGGTTTAGATGGTGGCTTTGGAGGAACCCTACCCCCTGGGTCGGGGGGCTTTGGTGGTGCACTACCCCCAGGAATGGGTGGAGCAGATCGTGATGGAACCCTTGGGATAGAAGTTGAAGGTGCTCTGACCAAATCTAAATTAAACAAATGAAATGATTACATAATTGTCATATAACACCTGCCTTTCAAGGTAGCCATTTCCAATGTCTGTTTCATGATTACTGTCTACATTCTGAAATTTTGTTAGCCCTACTTAACTTTGATAGAAGCATGTGGAACTTGATTAATCTGATATTACTAAATATTTTTCATCTCAAATATAGTTCCAGCTGATTCTGTACAGAAATCTGAAACATTTTTTATGTATTAAAAGAATTTTACACAGTAATGATATAATATAACTGAATCTTTACAGGATGAACCTACAAGGTGATGAGTATCCAATAACACTGCCAAAAATCTGAGCAAGTTGTTCAATTTAAAAATATTTTGAAATAAAAGAAAATTACTTCTGATATTTGATGGCATCTTTCCCCTTCATTTCCACTGTTACAGTATCTATCAGGGTAATAGTATATATTGATACTTGAAATTTCCTTCGCTACTTACTATCAACTGCACAGAATGAAAAATCCTAGGGCTGACAAAATCGTACAGTTATGTGATTTAAGTGACTTAAATTCGAGAAAAATTCGGTTTTGGATCAAACTTGAAAGGTAGATATCACCACTTCATCATGTTACTTTTGTTTAAACGATAAGTGATCATTATGAGTCAACATCATACTATATTAATTATTTCTAGAACAAATCATGGAGTAAACATTAAAGAAATATCCTTCATTTGCAATGAAGTTTCCCTTACAACTCAAATATTTTAAAATAAATTTTGGAACTTTTTTATGCCTTGTACCCACTGTTACAGTACTTAAAAAATTGTAAACAAATATTTTTTTTTCTAATAATGCATTTGATGAGTCCAGAACATGTGGAGAGTAATAACAAAATGTCAGTAATGTTTTGCCATTGTAAAATATGTCTACCTGTGACTGAAGGTCTTTGAGGCACATCAGGTAACTGTTTTCTCGGCGGTGGTTTGAGGGAATGTTGAGGTGTTACTCCCCCTTCCGCCATCGTTGGCCTTTTTCTGACAAATACGTATGCTCGATTTAATTTGGAGTGATCTCCCCATAAGTCATCTACAGTTATCCCCCCTCGTCTTCTAGAACGGAAGTCATAGAAAATCAGCAAGTCAAGATGTGCTCGGGTAAGTGTCATAATTTGTTTTTCAAGCACTCACATGATATTTTGAGTGTCATTCAAGATTTTATTCAACGCACCAGTGTTTCAGAACTGACAGCAGTGTCTTAATTCTGTGTAATTGCTTTCCCGTTTTGCGTATGACAGTATGTCTTCAGAAAAAAATAAAAGGTTTTGCAGGAATACAGGGACATGTTTGATTCACAATACTACCCAATACTAAATAACTATTACCTGAAATCACTCAACCTTACTAAAGTTTTAACAAATATCGGTAACTAAATACATACTTACCTTTGGTAATGACATTTCAGCAATAAATGTGTTTTGGCGAAAAATCTTGCACAACAGGTCAATATTGTCGCTCTAAAATATGTATCTGTATCTGTATCGGTACGTTGTAGATCCCGTTTCCGGTTTTAATACAACGGATGAGAGAGTTAAGGATGCCCGAGGGCGCCCTTGAAAGCCTCCAATGTTGGGGCACATACTATTTTGTCATCCAGATGGTTCCAATCGATGACTGTTCTCACGAAGAAAGAGTTCCTGTACTGTTCACAGTTGTGTGTTGGTACTGTGTAGGGTTTTGAGTTGTTGGTGACCCTTTTTTCTACCATGTTTGCCGAGATGTAGCTGTCAAATTTTTTAGCTCTAACATTTCTCCTCGGCCTTTGTTTTGTAAGGTGATTTTCTGGGGGTATAGATGGTAGTAACCCCTCCACTACTTTATACATAAAGATCACTCTTTGTTGCGCGCGCCTTGTCTGAAGTGATGGAAGCTTCAGGTCCTCCAGCATCTGAGTGACACATCCCTCCTCCCTTGATCTATATTCATTATTTATGAATCTTGCCGCGAGTCTTTGCACTCTTTCAAGTTTATCAATTTCTTTTTGATTATAGGGGTCCCAAATGATAGCACCATATTCCCAGATTGAATGTACGAGGGAAATGTATGCTGTTTTTTTACATGTCTTTGGGCTGTGTTTAAGATTTCTTTTAAGGAAGCCAAGGGTTGAGCTGGCTTTTTTTGTGATGTTCATTATGTGTGTGTTCCATTTCAGGTCTTCCGAAATAGTTAGTCCCAGGTAGGGGTTAGTCTTTACTTGTTCTAAGATCTCGCCATTTAAGGTGTAGAATTTATGGCCCCTCTCTTTGATGTTCATGACGTAACATTTTTTGGTGTTGAATTTCATCCCCCACCTGTTTGCCCATTGCTCTAGGTTGTGTAGATCATCCTGTAGTAGCTGGTGGTCGCTATATTGGTTGATTTCTCTGTAAAGGAGGCAATCATCCGCGAATAATGTATTAAAATATCTCGGCAGTTGATAGGATGCAAAGCAATGTAAACCAAATATAAGGAAACATTCACAGCTCAGAACACATATCTAGTATAAGAGTAATAGTTTAATTCTAATTGTAAAAAGAAAATAAGTTAAAATTTGCTGGAATCCTGAAACCAATAGGAAAACTACCAGAACATCACGAGATGATTTTACACTTACAGAAAATTTGGAACAAGTATAGTACATGTATATTTAATGTATGTAAATATATTTTCTTTGTTTCTCAGATTGTAAAAATCATACTCAGTCATGTTTTGTATTGATATGTATAAATGTTGAGTGATAATGTGTAATCATAATGAATTGTGTTTGACTGAACTGTTACTGTATGAATAATGTAATTGTGTGTTGCTAATATTGTATAACAATTTCGATGTAAGCCAATTGGCAATCAAAAACTAACCAAAAATGATGATCTCATTATGTGAAGTATAAAATCTTTAATCACTTTCTGGCAAAATGTTGATTTTTGTAATTTTGACAGAAGTGTCAGGTAACTTTTTTTACAAATGATAACATGTGATAAAGACAAAACCCAGCTCCTTATTCATTTATTCACTTTCAACACCTCTATATACAAATAATTATGTTTAATATGTAAAGTTGATGGGTCAAGTACAATTATTGTTTATTGATTATGCTCACTGGAAATTTTCAGTTCAATATTTCTTAACTTGTACCTGAACATACATCTCAGAAAAGTTAAAAGCTGTTTCTTTTAAAGATGATCATGTCAGACTTTGAATAGTGTTTGTGAATTCTCATGCAATCAGCCAGGTCGACTGCTGTTTTGGGAAAAATGTCAATTTTAGATGATTTCCTGAACAAAAAAAAACAAAAAAAAAAAACTGCAAGATTTGCATATTATGTTAAATATTGAGTTTAATAGTTTTCATAGAACAATAGTTTCAGGTTATTGTATCAAGGTTGAATACTTTCTCAGTTAAGTTGTCGACAACTGATGTTATAAGCGAGATGGTGGCTATAATTACGTAGCTTTTGCAAAAATAGCTGAATTCACTGAGATTTCCTTACAAGAAGTTTGATTAAAATTATAGGAACACAACTCATTTAATTAACATATAAAAGACAAAATATATGATGGACTCACATGTAGTCAGTTCTACAGCAAAAGAAAAAAAGATGAACCATGGCATGTCCATTATCCATTATTGAAAAGGCAACAATTTGTTCATAAATTTTTCAAATCATTTAAAACGTCATGCAATGAGGTGACACAGAAATTTCCCATGGACAAATGGCAATTGCCTATCAATCTATTCTAAGTCTGTCATTATATGAAATGGGCATTCCCCAGGAGTGAACCGACAAATTACCCAAATGTACCCAAATTTTAATGCATGACAGACTTTTTGGTCTGGAGTGTGTACACCAAATGTTGAGTAGTTTGCTCATGTGTTGGTATGTTGAGCTGTTTTGTAGAATGATCTCCTACTTCAATTAGCATTTTGTTTTTGAGTTGCTTTCAAAAAAAAAAAAAATAAATAAACAGGTGCAGAACCCTTCGATATAATGGCTTGTGGAGAGCACTGCATCTTTAAGGTCCATCATTATTTTTTTCAAAAATTAAAGCTTATGTCAGTCAGTACTGTAAAAAGGCATTTAGATATAAAGTATTTTAGAAATGCATCACAAATTTTATCTTTCACCATAGCAACTGAAAGTATGGTATCATGTACTGTATAATAAGACATCATATCTATTTTCAGATTTTATACAAAGGATTTACGATCATCCAGTTTAGAGCCATCATGAGTTGGTCAGCAGACACCAGACTGCGGCCACAGCAAAGACTTGACACAAAATGGCTGAAAACAGACATTCAGGTAAAAGAATTTTTTGAGGATTTTTAGGGACTAATAATGGAATTTTTTCTAGATTGGTATTAACGTATTCATTTGTTTAATTTATAAAACTTGCATTTTATTCCTACATCAAACTTTGCTTCCCAGTTTGTCAGTTTTATAACAAACACACCAACCATGACCCTAAATTGAAAGGGACAAAAGTCCTAAGGTTTGTATATACGTATCTGTACTGCTATATGTTTTAAGTGCATATATTGAAACAAAGGAGCTCATTATTAACCTTCTGTCTATCAGTATTGTTGGTTTTGATGACATCAGACATAAAATCTGAGAATTGATTTGGCAATACCATGTACATATACTATACGTTTAAGCTCACCAGGACTGAAGGGCCAAATGAGCATACCCATCACCATTAATGCTGATTTTCAGTATTTTCGTGTTGTAAATACACTACCTTTTGCAGGCCTCATAGAAACTGACATAGTTGATACTTACCACACATGACGTCACAGTGACATTTTGGATTCATATGCACTAAGCGTTTAGTCATGTGACAGGAATTTGGAGCAAAATTAACAGTGATATTAAATTTTGAAAAGTGCAACCTCTAAATGACATTTGTGTGATAACAAATTTATATTGCTAGAAAGAGCATTGTATAAACCATTAAGGAAGTACTTTTCATCTGAATATTTTTCATGATTTAATTTTTAAAGGACCATCGCAGTAAGCGATGGGGCAGGTCGCAGCAATATTTGCATGAAGAATGTGGTATTTTGATGATTTACCATTGAAATTATTCAGGTGGACACTAGAATTGATTGGATTTATTCTGTCTGCTTGTGACACAAAAGTTTCCCTTTCCATATAACCTACAAGGTTGCATTTTTGAAATATCGGCATTGATGTAAATGTCGGTCAATATGAATGGGATTCTTTTGTGTTCGTTGTACACGTGTCTATGACAACGGCAGTAGTAACAAGCCAGAAAATGTATTCAATCACAGAAATCTTCCAAAATTTGTTTAAAAAAGGCACGGACTGCTGAATGAATAATAGAAATATGCTATAAATTCAACTATACAACAACAAAACTGATGTAAAGATACATTTAATTATTCTCGGAATACCCACAACCATAAACAGAAATTGACTGCATCAACAGAATCAAATTGTTGGGCTCTCGGATAGAAAATGACAAAACTTAAATGTGTTGTGATGATGAAAATCAAATACATACCACACACATGTATTTATATGATAGTATTATACAATGTTAACTGTGTATTTCATATCATAATGACGAAAACAAGATCTGAAAATAAGATCACATGTAGAAGTACAATGCATATGTACAGTACAATGATGGGGATTGACTGTCATAATGTCATATTTACCATTCTAAATTCATTAGTTACTGCTGTAGAGATTGTTATTTGTATCAACTCCATATATGGTCATATGATGTTGAGTTGCATTCCTTGATTATTGCATGTGTATGCCAATGTCAGGACTGACTTGAGGCAATAAATCCTACTGAGTATATATGTCTTACTATGAACAAAGTTTATACTGCCATGTATACACATATCAAATACATACATAGCTCCAGACAACAGGAACATATTTTCGCCAAAACACTGTTTTCAAAAAAAAAATTCTGTCACATTTGCATCTACACATTTACATTTAAGTTATTTGCAAATCAGATAAATGTTGTTTTAATTTGGTACATGACTAAATCCTGTATTGGACTTCCACTACATCTAAATCTGTGACTGAAGTGAAGTACATGTTTGACTTCCCACTAATTAGTAAGACATTTTATCAAACAAATTTAAACGGATTTGATGTTTGAATATATTTTTGACACATTGTTCTCAGAAAGATGTGTGTTTGAATCTTGTACTGAAGAGACCTAAATCTGGCACAGTTTTACTTAAATGTGAAAAATAAGAAAAAGACACAAATTTAAACGGATTTGATGTTTGAATATATTTTTGACACATTCTCAGAAAGATGTGTGTTTGAATCCTGTACTGAAGAGACCTAAATCTGGCACAGCTTTACTTAAATGTGAAAAATAAGAAACAGATGTGAAATGAAGAGTTAGTTATCATGTTAAAAAATTAATCTAGTAAATATTGGCAGGATTATTTTGTGTTCAAAACATCAAATTATGAAGAAAAAAAAATGTAAGTCATATCACAATACCATAGCCTACTTTTACACTGTGTCAGGTAACTGATGCAACCACTTTGATTATCACTGCTGACCACTTTGATTATCACTGCTGACCACATGATTATCATTGCTGACCACATGATTATCACTGCTGACCACTTTGATTATCACTACTGACCACCATGATTATCACTGCTGACCACATGATTCTCACTGCTGACCACATGATTATCACTGCTGACCACTTTGATTATCATTGCTGACCACTTGATTATCACTGCTGACCACTTTGATTATCACTGCTGACCATCACTATTGACCACCTTGATTATCACTGCTGACCACATGATTATCACTACTGACCACTTTGATTATCACTGCTGACCACATGATTCTCACTGCTGACCACATGATTATCACTGCTGACCACTTTGATTATCATTGCTGACCACATGATTATCATTGCTGACCACATGATTATCACTGCTGACCACTTTGATTATCACAGCTGACCACTTTGATTATCACTGCTGACCACATGATTATCACTGCTGACCACTTTGATTATCACTGCTGACCACATGATTATCACTGCTGACCACTTTGATTATCACTGCTGACCACTTTGATTATCACTGCTGACCACCTTGATTATCACTGCTGACCACTTTGATTATCACTGCTGACCACCTTGATTATCACTGCTGACCACTTTGATTATCACTGCTGACCACATGATTATCACTGCTGACCACTTTTATTATCACTGCTGACAACATGATTATCACTGCTGACCACTTTGATTATCACTGCTGACCACTTTGATTATCACTGCTGACCACATGATTATCACTGCTGACCACTTTGATTATCACTACTGACCACCTTGATTATCACTGCTGACCACTTTGATTATCACTGCTGACCACATGATTATCACTGCTGACCACTGATGATTATCACTGCTGACCACTTTGATTATCACTGCTATCACTGCTGACCACATGATTATAATTGCTGACCACATGATTATCACTGCTGACCACATGATTAGCACTGCTGACCACTTTGATTATCACTGCTATCACTGCTGACCACATGATTATCATTGCTGACCACATGATTATCACTGCTGACCACTTTGATTATCACTGCTGACCACTTTGATTATCACTGCTGACCACTTTGATTATCACTGCTGACCACATGATTATCACTGCTGACCACATGATTATCACTGCTGACCACTTTGATTATCACTGCTGACCACTGATTATCACTGCTGACCACATGATTATCACTGCTGATCACATGATTATCACTGCTGACCACTTTGATTATCATTGCTGAGCAGCACACCCAGGCAATCAAAAGACTGTTAAGTATTGAAGAAAAGGAAATTGATGGAGGAACCACACTTCCTAGAAATTTTTTAAATAGATGTGACAAATATGTTGGTTAATTGCAAACATTGAATATACAAAAGATCATATTCTATTATTCTAGTGAAAATTTCTGGTTAGGTAATAAATGGATATTTACAGGCTGTAGTACCAGGAATATATCAATCATGGACTTAAAATTCATTATTTTATGAAACTACAACACGGATGTGGGAAGGCGATCATGATGATTATAATTAGAACTTTCAGTGAGATACAGTGATTTACTTGATTGTTTTCTCTTGTTACAGGGCAAAAAGATGTAGCACTTTCTTTTTTTTGTTTTTTTGTTTTTATTTTTTTGGTTTTTCATATTTGTATGAATATATGAATATATATATAAAATGAGGACAACACTTTCCATCTGGTTTATCACATAGGTGTAGGTTTACAATAAAATGTGTAGATGAAGATACATGGTACTGATAAATGCTGTCTACAGAATTTGTACCTTGGCCATAAGTTACAAACCATTCATTTTAGAATGAAAATTCCAATCAAAACTAACTTATTTTTGATTTGTAAAAATAATAAAAGTGCTTGAGTGCCCTGTACTCTAACAACAACACAAGTTTGCTTCACCATCTAAGGCAGTGTTTGTACATATATCACTGGTACATCTATATGTGCTCTCTAAATGGACAAATGTTGACCGGTGGCAATGTTCTGGAATGGTTGAAGGTAGTGTGACATACAAGCAAGTAGCTATATGTTTTATGTAAGGTGTTCGGTTATTTCTTGGTTAATGCAGCATGTGATCCAAACCGGGCATGTTGACAAGCATCCTAGTTGTGGCAGACCTGGAAATATGACAGATAGGAAAGACTTCCACATAGACAGGCAAGGTGATATCTATTTACCACTGCCAACAAGCTTAGAAGACAGTGGAATGTCAGTATTGTGTTAGCTCATATATACAATGGGTATGTAATCACCAGACATGGGATATTAGGTCTTGTTGAATGGTCAGCTGTTCTGATGGAAGCCACTGCTCTGTCTGACAGATGGCAGCTGGTCAATGTAATGAGACCAGAAAATATGACATACCATCAGAATCACTTTCTGGGCACAACATCAATTTGTGGTGGTTGTGTTTGGGGAAGATTTTCTCTAAACTGTTAGCTTTGTTGCATGACCTTGATGCAGAAGTATCGTGATCAGATCCTTCAACCTTTAGTTGTTTCACATTTGGATGCCCATTCAGTGGCAGATTGGCCGATCCTTAAGGATGGCATTGTGAAACATGGCCTTCCTAGTAGAAGACTCTACGACGAGATTTTGCCTGTAATGTCTCTACACATACATGTACCCAAGTTAGCATGTTTTGGATTATATCAGACCTAGAGCTTGTTGATTAGTTAATCATCTTGATCAGGTGCCATGTTTTTT